AATTACTAACCTATACCTTTGAGGAAATAAACCCTTTTAACTAGAATTCAATATTTGTTTAGAGTTCTTCTTGTCTTTGGCCTGAGGGTATAAATCTAAACACGGTGTTTATTTATTTTAAAATATTTATTTATTTATTTATTTCGTTGTGCCGGATCTTAGTTGCGGCACACAGGCTCCTTAGTTGCAGCAGGCGGGCTCCTTAGTTGTGGCATGAGAACTCTTAGTTGTGGCGTGCATGTGGGATCTAGTTCCCTGACCTGGGGTCAAACCTGGGTCCCCTGCATTGGGAGTGTGGAGTCTTATCCACTGCGCTAGGAAAGTCCGCAAACACGGTGTTTAAATGTTAGTTGGAGTTAATCTCCCACCCACCCCGTGTGATGTTGTAAATCATTCGAAGTACAGTTGGTTCACTGGTTTCTGTTTGTATTCCATTTTCAGGTTCCCCCTATCTTTACTGATTTTGTGCATTTATTTTTTGATTATGTGAAACATTAACAAGTTTCCAAAAGTCAGAATTATACAAAATGGGATCTTCTGCCCAAGCATCCTTGACCGTAGCACCCTAGCTGGACATCTGTCCAGGGCCCTGTGTTTCAGAATCTAAAGACTCTGCTTTCCCACCTACCTTGGGGGAATAGTGTCAGTCTCTAATCTTAATATTAACACTGACCCTCCTAATTCCTAATTGGTTAAATTGTGGCAAAACCAAATTGCATAATAAAATACCTGTCTAAAGATCAAATGACATGGGTTTGAAAAAATTTAAATACAATCAAGCAGCGTGCTGTTCTTCTCAAGTTTACTTTGAGTTACACGATGGTCTCCCCTTCATCTTTCTGCAGTTTATCATTTGCAGCTGATAACTAACAGACCCTCATGCTGATCTCTTAACACACATTGCTTCTTTTGTTTTTGGCCATGCCATGTAGCATGTGGGATCTTAGTTCCCTGACCAGCGATTGAACCCGTGCCCCCTGCAGTGGAAGGGTGGAGTCTTAACCACTGGACCACCAGGGAAGTCCCACATTGCTTCATTTTTTTTTTTTTTTTTTTCCGGTACGGGGCCCTCTCACTGTTCTGGCCTCTCCCGCTGCGGAGCGCAGGCTCCGGACGCGCAGGCTCAGTGACCACGGCTCACGGGCCCAGCCGCTCCGCGGCATGTGGGATCCTCCCGGACCGGGGCACGAACCCGTGTCCCCTGCATCGGCAGGCGGACTCTCAACCACTGCGCCACCAGGGAGGCCCACATTTTTGAAGGCAGTTATTAAGGTATAATTTCTTGGGGTACAATTTACATATGGGGAAAAACCCCTTCAAGTTTTGATAAACTCATACAGTTGTGTACCCATCAACACAGTCCTGATACAGAATAGTTCCATCACCCCAAAAATTTCCTTCCTGCTGCTCATTGTCATCAGCCTTTCCCCCACCCCCTGTCCCTGGCAACCACTGAGATGTTGTCTGTCCCTATGGTTTGGGCTATTCCAGGATGTCACATGAAATGGAATCATACAACACGTAAGCTTTGAGTATGGGATCTTTTGCCCAACGTAATGTGGTTGAGGTTCATCAAAGTTGTATGTATCAGTAGTTCTTTTTCCTTTTTCCTGGTGAGTAATATTCTATTCTATGGATATACTGCAGTTTATCCATTCACAGCTGAAGGATATTTGAGTTGTTTCCCGTAATTTCCAATTATGAATAAAGCTTCAATAATCATTGGTCTATAGGTTTTTGTGGGAACATATGGTTTCATTTCTCTTGGGTGAATACCTAGGAGTGGGATTGCTGGGTTGTGTGGCAAGTATATGTTTATAGGAACCTGCCAGACTGTTTCCAGAGTAGCAGCACCATTGTCCATTCCCACCAGCGATGTGTGAGCGTTCTAGTTGCTCTGCATCCTCGCTAGCAATCTGTACTGGCAGTTTTTGGCTTTGGGTTTTTTTGTTTGTTTGCTTCTTTGATCAGTCGAATTGTTTTTTGTAGTTGTATCTCATTTTGGTCTTAATTTGCATTTCCCTAATGACTCATTTTGTCGAACATCTTTTCATTGCCTTATTTGCCACTTGTAAATCTTTTTTGGTGAAGTGTCTATTCAAACCTTTTGCCCATTTAAAAAATCAAGTGGCTTGTTTTTTATTATTGAATTAGGGAACCATTTATACAAGTCCTTTATCAGGGGTTTTAAAATATCTTCTCCTGATCTATGTCTTTTTATTTTTTTAATGGTGTCTTTTGAAAAGTGGAGGTTTTAAGTTTTGATGAAGTCGGATTTATCATTTTTTTTCTTTTGATGTCATATAAGAAATATTCGGCGGAGGCCACAAATTTTTCTCTCATATTTTTTTTCTAGAAGTGTTATGATATTAGGTTTTAAGTTTAGGTGTGTGGTTAATTTTATTTATTTATTATTGAAGTACAGTTGATTTCCAATGTTGCGTTAGTTTCAAGTGTATAGCAAAGTGATTCGTTTTATATATATATATATATATCTTTTTCAGATTGTCTTCCATTATAGGTTATTACAAGATATGGAATACAGTTTCCTGTGCTATAGAGCAGGACCTTGTTGTTTATCTGTTTTATATACAGTAGTGTGTATCTGTTAATCCCAAATTCCTAATTTATCCCTCCTTCACCCTTTCCCCTTTGGTAACCATAAGTTTGTTTTCTATGTCTGTGAGTCTACTTCTGTTTTGTAAATAAGTTCATTTGAGTCATATTTTAGATTCCACATATAAGTGCTCGCATATGATATTGATATTTGTCTTTCTCTGACTTACTTCACTTAGTATGATAATCTCCAGGTCCATCCATGCTGCTGCAATGGCATATTTTATTCTTTTTTATGGTTGAGTAATATTCCATTGCATATCTGTACCACATCTTTTTTTTTGAGTTTTATTTTATTTATTTTTTTATACAGCAGGTTCTTATTAGTTATCTATTTTATACACATCAGTGTATACATGTCAATCCCAATCTTCCAATTCATCACACCACCACCACCACCCCTGCCACTTTCTCCCCTTGGTGTCCATACGTTTGTCCTCGACATGTTATGCCACAACTTCTTTATCCATTCATCTGTTGATGAACACTTAGGTTGCCTCCAGGGCTTGGCTATTGTAAATAATGCTGCTATGAACATTGGGGTGCATGTATCTTTTATTTATTTTTTAAAAATTTTAATTTTATATTGGAGCATATTAACAATGTTGTGTCAGTTTCAGGTGCACAGCAGAGTGATTCAGTTAAGCATATACATGTATCTATTCTTTTTCAAATTCTTTTCCCATTTAGGTTATTACAGAATATTGAGCAGAGTTCCTTGTACTGTACAGTAGGTCCTTGTTGGTAATCTATTTTAAATATAGTAGTGTGTACATGTCAATTCCAAACTCCCAATCCTTCCCTCCCCCACCCTCCCCCCTGGTAACCATAAGTTCGTTCTCTAAGTCTGTTTTGTAAATAAGTTTTGTAAATAAGTTCGTTTGTATCATTTTTTTCTTAGATTCCGCATATAAGCAATATCATATGATATTTGTCTTTCTCTGTCTGACTTAATTAACTTAATATAATGTGGATAATCTCCAGGTCCATCCATGCTGTTGCAGATAGCATATTTCATTCTTTTTTTATGGCTAATATTCCACTGTATATATGTACTACATCTTTATCCGTTCATCTGTTGATGGACACTTAGGTTGCTTCCATGTCTTGGCTATTGTAAATACTGTTGCAATGAACATTGGGGTGCCTGTATCTTTTCGAATTAGAATTTTCATCTTTCCTGGATATACGCTCAGGAGTGGAATTGCTGGATCATATGGTAACTCTATTTTTATATTTTTCAAGACCCTCCTTACTGTTCTCCATAATGGCTGCACCAGTTTACATTTTCACCAACAGTGTAGGAGGGGAGAGTTCCCTTTTCTTATATGGTTAATTTTGAATTAATTTGTGTATCTGTTTGGGTAAAGTTCACGATAGTTTTTTCACGTGTGGATTTCCAAACAATTCAGCACATTTATTAAAAAGACTATCCTTTTCCCGGTTAGTTACCTTTGCACTTTTGTCAAAAATCAATTGACAATGTGTGTATGGGTCTATTCCTCGATTCCACACTGTTCTATTAACATTATTTCACACTGGTTAACATCTTGTAGGGCATGGTGACATAGGGCCCTAAAACGTAAGGAATTTGAAAAAGATGATTTCAAGATTCTGCGAGAAATTCCCATCTGTATAGAAAGTGCTCTGGACTCTGTGATAGAGGTTAGCAAGAGCTCTATGTCTGGTAGCACAGAACAAGGGTGTCTAACCCAGCCTGGGGGTGCAGAAAGGCCAAGCAAGGCTTCTTGGAGGTGGTGACCCCCGAGTCAAACCTTGAATGAAAGGAGAGAGGTATAAGGGCACTTGAACCATGTCAAGACCCTACTGGAGCCCCACGGGGTCAGGAGATGTAAATGGTTCTGATAAAAGTAAGAATTTCTCTAAATGCATGAGTTATGTATTGGAATGGGACTAGCTTAAGGGTGTGTGGGACTAGCTTAAGGGTGTGGAATCTTTTTCTCAAGTGGGTCGAAGAGACCTCTGAGCAATTTTTCTCTCCGTAGAATTCCAGGTTGGACCCCTCGAGGCTTTCTGGGTCTCAGTTTTGTTGTCTGTAAAATGGGGGCTTTCTATCACGTTGATCCGTGACTCTGCTGAGCAGGATTCAGCACTGGTATTAACAGACACGCCTCATCAGGCTTGCTGCTTTTTGGCCAAAGCTCTTTTATTTCTGAATTAGCTTGCTTGGTCCTTGGGGCATCCTGCAGGAGAGGTGGTTTAATTTGGTCCATTTCCCAGATATGCTCTCTCCGACATGAATTAGAATTTTATCATGGATCTAGGAACTTCCTGCCCCAGGATTCTTTGCCTTCCTTCCCAAAGCAGCCCAGTACCCTGGGCTGACCCCCTTTTTTGTATGGGTTCTCTCCCATCCTCTGCAGGTACCATCAAGGTCACTGCCGGCTCAGCTGTGCTGGGATTCCTCTTGCGGGACAAGCATGAGAAGGCAGGGAACAGCACCAGTGTGCACAGTGTGACCTGCATCCTTGTCCAGAATGGCAGCCAGGCCTTGCCAGGAGAGCTCCAGCTGAGGGGGCGACTGCAGGCCCAGACGGGGAGCCTTGAGGGCCAGGCCAGCCTCCATGCTGACACGGTCAGCCTAGCTCTGGGTGGAGTCTGCATCTGGGGCCCTGGGCACGGCCAGCTCTCGGTCACACTGAGTCACAACATCAACACCTTGCGTGAGGCAGGTAGGAGGGGTGGATAGGGCCCAATGGCTTCCTCCCCCAAAGACTCCTAGGGCCTGAAGCCTAGGGAGTTCAAGGAGCCCCCAGTCCCCAAACCCACCTTCCAGCTCTATTTCCTCCCCCTACCAGCTTCTCCCAGTGCCTCCATCTTCCCTGGGCTGTTATTCAGCCAGAACACTGGTTGCTACCCAGTACAGACACACCTCCAAACTGGAGGCAGGCGCCCCTGCCACTGGCCCCTCCCCCAGGACTCTGCCCCCAGTCTGGCTTCTCCAGCTTGGAAGCCTGGTCTAGCAGGGCCTCCAGGATGTTCTCGGCACTGTGGTTAAGAAATAGCTTGGACACCCCCAGCTCTAGCTTCTTGGGGACATTTCCCTGGGACCTGGGGGGGCCCAAAGGTGCAGCAACAAGAGGAGAGCACAGGATCAGACCTCTGTTCCCCTCGTGCTTTCTGAGAGCCCATGCCCTGTCTTTGGGGAGGTAGGAATGCAAAGGGGACACGGGGCCTATCACTTGGTGATAGGTGTGGCCATTGTAGGTAGTAGGTGGGAGCTGGGGGGTTTGTCTGCCTCAGGGCTCAGGGGACCCTCCAGAGAGAAGGAGGGCTGTCAGTGACCCTGTTCTGGCTCCCGTATTGTGTGCCATCTTCTGGTTCCTCTCATCCCCAGGACTCCCCTCCCAGGCAGAGATGCTCCTACTGCACAGCCACGTGGCTTCCAACCTCTCAGTGCATGTGATGCTGCGTAGTGCAGAGCGGCAGCTGCATGCTGCCCTTGGCCTGGAGGGCCTGGTCACCAGCGCCCTGGGCAGCCGGCTCCGTGCCAGCCTTGGCCACACGGTGCCCGGCCTCAGGCGCTGGGGCCTCCCCTTCTCCGTGGACGGCCGCGGGCACTTGCAGGTGGGTGAGGGGGCTGGGCCCGGGCCCCGTGGGGGCAGTGGGCCTGAGAGACACTCACAGCTTTGCTTCTCGCAGAGCGTGGGACCCAGTCTGGCGGTCGCGCTGGTGGTGAACGTGGATGGCGATCAGCTTCGTGTAGCCCTGGAGAGGAGGGGAGCCGGCGGCCGCTGGGGGCTGGCCCTGGGGCTGCACCACGGCCTCTCAAGGTTGCAGGTAAATGACCCAAAGTCCCCATTTGGGGGGGGCCCACTGCCTATGCAACTTCTCTAGTCACCTTCCCAGCTCCCACCAGCTTGCCCCTCCCACCTCCGTAGCCCCTCCCACCAGCTTGCCCCTCTCACCGTCCCAGCCCCTCCCACCTTCCCTCCCAGCCTCTCACCAAATTTCCCATCCTCCTTTCCCATCCATCCTTTCTCCTTTCCTCCCACCCTCTCCTCCCATCCATCCACCCTCCCTTCCTTCCTCCCCACCCTGCCTTCTACTCTTCTTCTCTGTCTTCTGTCCACTTGTCCTCCTGTCCCTCTGTCAACGCTCCCTCCCCTGCCCTCATAAATGGAAGTGTATTTGAGGCAGCTCCCTCAGAGGCGCTCTGGGTCTATCTAGTAAAATGAAAACTGCTGAGACTCTCACCCTTCAGCTCGTGTTCCTGGTTACCTCCCCTGGAGAAACCCGGAACACTAGGTAAGGAAACACACACACAGCTGTCTTTTGCATTGTTCTCAAGAACAAAAGGCAGGAAACCACCTCTGGGCCTGGCACAGGTGTGGCTAAACCATCCAATGTGTCCGAGTGTCAGGGTGAGCGAGCCAGCCATGCGGCCCGAATCCAGCCTGCTTCATCACTTACCAATTGTGCAACTTTAGTCCAGCTGCTTACTCTTTCTGTGCCTCAGTGTTCTCATCTGCAAAATGGGACTGTTAATAATCCCTGCCTCCCACGTTTACCTTGAGGATCAGATGAGGAACCAGTTAGAACCTGGCACTCAGGTTCCTTCTGTTTTTTTCTGGTTACTTCTGTTTTTGACGATTCTGTGGGTTAGCACTTAGGTCTGCACAAACCTCTCTTTGGGGGTTATCTTCCCAGGGAGGCCTTCACAAAGGGAGATGGGCTCAAGCTAAGCTATATCTCAGTACTCTGTCCAGGGTTAAGATCGGGGAGAGACACCTCATGCCTACACATGCCCCCTACCCACCCTGCTTGTCTCCCTAGGTCAACTGCAGTGGAGACGCTTCGCCTGCCCAGATGTCAGGGCTCTGCTGGGGGGACGTCACTGGGTGGCCTCACGAGGTACAAGGGTCTCTGTCACAGGCAGGGCAGGGTGGGAGATGGTGGTCTGCCTCTGGGGTGGGGGTGGGCACAGGCTGAGCACCAGGGGCTGCCTGCTGGATGACTTAGGGCCTGTGGCCACTGCCAGGCCGACCCACATGGTCCCCTCCTCCAAGCCCTTCATGTCCCCAGTAACATGCATCTGGGCTCCCAGCCCTGAGGGGACCCAGCCCAACCTGACAGCAGATGGGTGGTCCCTTCTGTAAGCACACTTAGACAGTGACCCAGAATCCAAGTGTTTCAAGCCAACCTCTGCCACGGTGAGCTGGGCTGGTGACAGGCATATCTGGGTCTTTGGAGCGAGACAGACCGTGGGGCTCACAGGCACGCATGCTGCCCAGGCTGGGGCACAGCACAGCTTACGTAGCTCCGAGCTCTCCCGGGCCAGGGTGCAGGTGGATAGTAGGTCCTCTCCTTCGAAGGCAAGGCATGGCTGGGAGACCTGAGCACAAGGCCTGGACTTCCTGATCTCCAGCGGGGTCCTGTGGCTCCTGGGCCAAGAGCTGTGGGTGAACTGGACGTGGGGCGACCACTGGGGTTTCCTGCAGACCTTGTCAGTGCTGCCCTGTGGGCAGCTGGGTGGGCAGCTTGTGGTAGGCCTGGCTCAGCTGAGCTCTCAGTCCAGTTGGCTCTGGGGGGCCAGCCAGTGAGCACAGCCCTGAGGACGGCCTGGGGGAGGAGGACAGAGGTTTTTCTGCTCCTTAGAATCTGCTCTGGGGCCAGGCAGACATGAGCCTGGAGGTGCTGAGTGGATGCTGCAGGGTGTCTGGCCTGGGGCCCTGCCTGGGGGTCCTGGGAGCTGGTGCTATGGGCTCACCGCCTGGCTGTCCGGATAGAGGGAACATGGCCTCCTCGGGAGGACTGTTTCTGCCAGCTTCACCTCTGTGAGCGTAAAAGATGCAGTACTTTCACGCCTCCAGCTTGGCAGTGGTAGCAGCTCCACCCAGTACAGGGACCAGAAAATCAGACCAACACAGCTTCCTGCCCAGACCTGCCACTCACCTGCTGTGTGACTTTTAGCCAGGCGTTAACCTCTCTGAGCCTCAGCCTCGTCATCAGTGAACTGCAGGTGGCAACACCTACCTTGCACTGTCGAGCATGAAATGGGCCAGCGCATGTCAGGTCCCATCTCAATTTGGTATCCTCTCTTTTGGCGTGGTTTCAGCTACCAGGGAATCATGATCTCATTTTACAGATGTGGAAACTGAGGCTCAGGGAGGTGAAGTCACCTTCCCTAGGTCACACAGTGGCCTGAATGGCAGGAGGGTTAGCCAAGAGAATTGAGGATGAGGATTGAAAGGGTCTTAATGAGCTAGACAGATGGGCTGCCTCCCCCCAGAGGAAACCTAAGACCGAGGGGGCACGTGGAGTTAGCAGCTGCACCTGCGAGAAAGACTCAGGGCTGGGGCGCGAGGGTGACTTCGGAAAAGACTAACTGAGCGGGAAGGTTAGGACAAGAGCCATGAATGGACGGCCCTTCCCTCCGAGAGCCGTGGTCTGGAATTCCAGGAAAGGGCTGGAAATTGGGCATTCCTTAGTCCTAGAGCAGGTCAGCAACGTCCAGGGGGGAGAATCCGTGGGCTGTGCCCCGTGGGCGGCCACCCCGAGCTCCGTGGCTCCTCTGTGGCCTCCATTTAGCTGTGGTGGGGGTGATACGTGCATTCACCCTGTCGTCAGTGGTGCCGTCCCCACCCCAGGTGGACAGATGAGCACTGGGTGACAGGAAAGGGCTGAGAGCAGCTCCTGGTTCTGTCACGGGCGTGCAGACACTCCAGGACCCCCAGGTACACTACTTAGAGATGCAGTGACTTCCATTCGAGGTGTTAAGCGGGACGTGTCCAGACCAGAGAGGTTGAGAGGCCCGAGGTTCCATTATGGAAAAGAGAGGAGGAAACGGGAGGGAGGACCCAGAGGCCTCATGGGGAGCGGGGGAGCGGGCGTCAGGGGCCCTAAAGTGCTCTGAACGGTTGAATTTCTTGACTCCCTGGGAGGCCGGTTTCAGCTCTTCAGAGAGAAGTGCTTCACGTGAGCATCACCTGTTAAGGGGTGGTGGTGGGTGCCCCTGGGGCATGGGGGCTCCCTTGACCACCTGTGGACAGGCAGGCGGTGGACACACTTGGTGGGGTGTTGTAGGGACACCCGCTCGGGCTCACCTTGCCTTTCTTGGTGGCAGAATCCAGCTGTGCTTACCTTGAATGGCTCCTTCCTGGTCCACGCCTTTGGGGTCAGCCTGGCGGCTCAGGTATCTTCTGGGGACACTTTCGCCCGGGCCCACGTCCACACAGCCTGCGGCCGCCACGCCTGCCTGGACACCAGCCTCCAGCACACATGGCCTCCACTTCAAGCGCTGGGGGTGCCCCCCGACAACCACATCCGAGTGTCCGTCGGGGGAGACGAACCCCCCAGGGCCCAGCTGGAGGTGGCCCTGGGCCCATGCACCCTGACTGCTCATGGGGACGTCAGGACAGAGGCCAACGCCATGCACAACTGGACCCTGGCCCTGGTGAATCACTGCCCCCTGCTGGAGGTAAGCCCCCACCCCACGGGTCAATGTAGGTTCCCACCTCCCTCCACAAGTTATTAACCGCCTGCTGTATGCCCAGCTCTGCACTCAGCATGAGAAACTTTAGTCTTTTTTTGCCGTTGTCACTTGAACTGGGGGACTCGTTGACTACAAAGCTTTGAGCCAAAGATGGGACCAGAACTGAATTTTCTCCCCTTTTGCAAAGGGCCTTCCTGAGACACCGGTTCGCTTCCTTTCTGGGCTCAAGTTGATTCTGTTCTCACATCTCACTTGCCCCGTTCCTGGGGTTGAGGCTCCGGGAGTGAGAATGAGAATCGTACGAAGCAGCAGCTGGTGTTCGTTAGGCACGTGTGCTGAGTGCCCTCTGAGGCCCCTTTGGTCCTCAGCCCTGGGAGGAAGGGGCTGCTTGTACCCCTCCTTTCATTCCCATCTTGGGTCCCTGCCCCCATGTGGGGTGCGTCCTGGGCCCCAGGGGAGCGAGTTGCTTAAGGTGTCTACCCTCCAGCCAGTGAACATTGATGTTAGTGATGTATTTCCAATAGCCGGTGCTTTCTGGGTACCTGGCTCTGGGCTCACAAGTATTAACTTTCTTACATCTCCCAGCAACTTCTGATGCTATAAATCAACTCCCATTTTAGAGATGGGTAAGCTGAGGTTGCAGGTTGGAACAACCGAGTTAGTGGTGCAGCCAGAGCTTGAGCCCGAACCTCTCCATGGGATACCCTTGGTATCAGTCACCTTGAAGAGGGAGGTGCTGGTAGAGTTCAGGCTGTGGGTCCACCGCTGCCCTCTTCGCACCCAGGCCCGTCTCCAGCTCCCCCACCTTGGCTTCTGGAGCTGCCCCTAAACCTGACCACTTTCCCCATATTCCAGGCAACTGGAATCCCACAGGCCCTGCACTCTGAGGGCCGCCTGAGCTGGGGACCCTGTGAATTCGACCTGGCCGCAGGCCTCCGCAGTGACCACGGAGACGCCCACCTGCTGCTGGCCCGTACCTGTGGGGCCCAGCCTTCTGCCCTGGGGCACCTGACCCACTCCCTGCCCCTTCTGGGTCGCCTGGGCCTGCCGCCCGGGAGCGCCATCAGCCTGACTGCCCGGCCCGGCCCCCGCACCAGCCGCGGCTCCCTGGCCCTCCGGATGGGGCCGTGCCAGCTGCGGGGTGTGCTGGAGCAGCAAGCTGAGAACCATAGCACATGGACACTGACCACTGAGCCGGGCTGCCCGTTGCTGGAGGTGCGTATGGCGGGCCAGCAAAGTGACTGGAGAGGCAGCTTCCAGAGCCCCTGTCAGCGTGAGGCCTGAGCCTGGCTGACACTCCCCTCCAGGGGCTTCCCAAGACCCCAGCTCCTATTTCCCAAAAACCCTGTCGGATACTTGGTTCCTCTTATCACTAATCCCACATTCCCATTGGACAGATGAGGAAATCGAGGCTGGGAGAGATGAGAGGCACGCTGTGAAACTAAAGACCACAGATTCAGAATATAAATTCTGAATATAAACTCTTATAAAAGTCTGTCTTAGTAAAATTCTGAGGGCAGGAAGGGAATGATGGAAGCTGTCCTCAGCTGACAGTGGGGAACAGTCACATCTTGGTTTCATAACCTGTTAAAAACCACAGGCTGGGTTTTATCTGAGCTGAGAGATGGTCTGAGAATTGTCCTGTGATGTTTGGGGGAGGGGAATCCCTGACACTGGAGTCTGGGTCAGCAGAGAGGACTGGTGCCCTCGTCCGAGTGGGACAGGTCACTCCCCTGTCTCCTGACGGAGCTTCCTGGGCACCGGGACAGGGTCTGGTCCACTCGGCATCCCTGAGCATAGGGCTGGGTGCCCACAGATGCTCTGTCAGTGTTAATCAGGTCAACACAGGATTGGGCCATGAGAGAGTAGTGCATCACGGGATAAAGCAGGTCTGCCCACTAGAACTTTCTCTGATGATGGAAATGTTTCATTATTTGATATCCAGGACAGGAGCTGCCAGCCATGTGTAGCTTAAAATGGGCTCACTAGTGCTATAGAAGAACCTGAATTCTTTCTTTTACTTTATTTTAATTTAAATTGAACCAGCCCCAGTCTGAAGCTTAGACTGAAGACAGATCAGGTTCAAACCTTGGCTCTGCTACTTACTAGCTATATGACCCTGGACAATTACTTCGCCTCTTTGAGCTTCAGTTTTCCCATCTGTAATATGGGGATATTACCTACCCATTTCAGAGCCATCAAATAGGGTGAAAAGAGGACATTCTTGTGAGTTACTTAGCATGAGGCTGTGCACGTACCAAGTGTTCTACGATGGACAATTGTCGTGTATGACGATTGCTGCTGCAGTGTGTTGTTACTGTAACGGGGGAGGGGCACAAGCTGGTAGGCAGGGCTGGAGGGGTAAGAGGGTAGAAGATGGAGAATCAGGGTCACTCCTGATGTGGGACCACCTTCTGACCCCGCTCTCTATGGTCCTGCAGGGCTTGGGCCTCCCAGCAGGGGTACAGCTCAGTGGCTCCCTGCAGGCCTCAGGTAGGGAAGCAGAAGCTTCAGGGGTCCTCGCAGCGGCCGGCCAGACTGCCTCCCTGACCTTGTTGGTGGCCCTGCACCCATCCGAGGCCACACTTCGAGCGAAGATGAGGCACACGCTGCTTTCACTGCACTCCATTCCCCCAGAGACCTCGCTGACCGTCCAGCTTGGGTGGGAGGCCGGACGCCAGCTGGGCCTGGAGCTGCACGCGGGGGCCTGCGAGCTTTGGGGCAGCGGCGAGCTGCAGCTGGACCCCTGGCTGCAATGGCGGGTGCTGTCCGAGAGCTCCTGTGAGGCCCTGCAGGTAGGTGTGCCAGGGGTGAGCAGGAGGGGTGGGCACCAGAGTCTCCAGGGGACAGGACAGGGGCCTCCTTTTTGACCACTGCCCAAACCAGAGAGATTGGGTGAACCCTGGAGGGATGGACTCCTCAGATACTTATTGAGGAGCTCCTCTGTGCCCTGGACATATGCCCATAAACAAAGCAGATATGAATGCCTGCCTGGGGCAGACTGGCAACCCCCAGAATAAATCACTGAACTGTGGAGTGCATCACACAGTGGTGAGGGCTAAGGGGAGAGAGAAAGTGGGAAAGGGGGGCGTAAAAAACAGGGCACATGTTGCAATTTTATAGTCGGTCAAGATTGGCCCCAAAGACAGGATGACGTTTGAGCACAGACTTGAAGGAGAGGAGGGAGTAGCATTGTTTTGTGTCTGGGGAAAGGGTATTCTAAGTATGGCCAGTGCAAAGGCCCTGAGGCAGGGCTGGAGAGGGAAGGGTATTCTCTAGGACTGGGGTCAGCAACCCATCTCTATAAAAGTTCATCTAGTAAATATCTTTGGCTTTGTAGGCCGTTCAGCCGCTGTTGTAACTGCTCGGTGCTGCTCTTGTAGTACAAAGCGCCATAGACAATATGCACTATGTGGGTGTGTCTGTGTTCCAATAAAGCTTTATTTACAACAGGCGGTGAGCTGGATGTGGCCTGTGGGCCATTTTTTGCTGACTCCTGTTTTATAAAAAGCCCATGGGCTGGGAGCACACTTGGATTCGGGATCCATCACAGAGGACTGGATAGAAGTTGCATGTGGGTGTGAGAAAAAGAGGAGAGTGGATGGTGACTGTGCTTTTGTCGTACATGATGAGAGGTTTGGGGCTGCTGTTCTCCGAGTGGGGAGAATGGTGGATGGAGGAGGAGGGTTGGGGAAGTGGTGTCACCAACTCCAGGCCTATTTTGGATGTGTTAAATTTGACAGGGCTCTTAAACGCTCAAGTGGAGATGTTGGGGGCAGCTCTCGAGTCGGGAGGTCGGCTGTGGTCTGGACTGGAGGGCTCCACCTCTAAGTGGTCACATTTAAAGCCACAGACTGGCTGACATGGCTGTGGGGTGGGTGGAGACTAAGCGCTCAGGCTGCAGAGCTGGAGGGATGAGAAGGAAGTGGCCAAGGGTACCAAGAAGAACAGGCCAAGAGGAGGAGACACCCCCAGGGAGAAGGCTGGGGAGGAAAGGACTCCAAGAGGAGGGAAGGGTTACCAGAGTCAAACGCTGTGTCAGACAGGTGGAGAGTTGGGCAGCCGACCTGGGTGCTGGGAAGGCCGCCTTTGAGGCCAGGAAGCGCCAGACTCTGAATGGCAATTCTGCCCCGTCTCTGGTGACCTTGAGCAAATCACTGTTCCTCCCTGGGCTTCAGTTTCATCATCATAAACGGGGTGCAAAGGCCTCCTCCACTCTCAGGATTAGATGAAACCACACTACCGATGTGCTCTGGGATGTGCTTGCGGGAGCAGCAGAGAGAGATGCCCACGTGGGCCAGCCTTGCAGGCTGCTTCCTGGACAGGCTCCCGTCTGCCTTTTGGGAGCAGGTGTTTGAGTTCTGTGCGCCTGGGAAGGCGGAGGGGATCGGGGAGGAGAGGTGGGGAGATGCACGTTCACAGCTGCCAGTGGTTGGAAGACTCTTGGCCAGTCGGTTTCACAGGATGTGGTTCTCTTGGGTATAAAGATGCGATCCTCGTAGTTTGGGGAGGTGGAAGGGGGTGGGGGAAGCTCGTTGAACAGTGCAGGGCTACCGATGTGGGGACCTTGGGCACTCTGGGAACCTGATCAAAGTCACAAACCCTCTCCTGTAGAGACTTTCATGGGCACATGCCCCACTTTGTGGTCAGTTCAAGGGGGATTATAGGACCCCTGATGCCCACTTGGGACCCCACCCTAGTTAAGAAGCCCTGCTTCCATCTCCTTAAACCCCTCCAGGCCCTGGGGGTCCCGGGTCGAGTGGATGGCTCCGGCTACATCATGGTGAGCTCCATGGCTGTGGACGCCCAGGTGCTGGTCACCGTGGATGCCAACACACTACGGGGACTGCTCATTCTCAATACCACCGAGGTGAGGGTGTGGATGGGTGGGGTACCCAGGGTGGCCTGGGAAGGGGTGCTGAGGCCATGTGCCCCCAAGGCCCGAGGAGAAGCATCTGGATACCCGCTGAGCTCCAAAGAGGACCCTGGCATATGAGAGCATCAAGGTCCATGAGTAGAGGAATGAGGCTTCCAAGGAGAAGTCCCTCAGCTGTCCTCTCCCCTTCCTAACTCCCCAGGAGCCACCATTCACACGACTTCTTTAATGTCATGTTTATGGAAGCACACAGCGTGCTCCCTTTTGCATCTGCCTTGTTTTGTTCGACGTTATGTTCGTGAGATTCACCCACTCTGTGTTGATTATCCTTTTTCACTGCTGTATAGTATTCCACGGTGTGCCTCTATCACAATTCATCTATCTATCCTATCCATTAGCACTTGGACAGTGTCCAGTTTCTTATTGTATATTATTTTATTAATTAATCACACACGTGTTTTTATTTTATTTTAAAACTGTTTTTATTGTGGTGTAATATGCATAACAGAATTTACCATCTTAACCGCTTTTTAGTACACAGTTCAGCGGTATTAAGTATGTTCACATTTTTGTGCAAACATCACCACCATCCATCTCCAGAACTCTTTTCATCTAGCAAAACTGAAACTCTATACCCACTAAACAATAACTCCTCATTTTCCCCTCCCCCGAGCTCTGTTGATTTCCTTCCTTTTTAAGGCTGAATAGCATTGCATTGGGTGGATGGACCAGATTTTGTTGAGCCATTTATTCATCAGTGGACACTTGGGTTGCTTCCACCCTTTGGCTATTGTTACGAGTGCTGCTATGAACACGGGTGTACAAATATCTCTTCATGATATCTCACACGAGTGTTGGTTTCTCTTGCTCTATTGTAGACCCAGCAGGAGGTGAACTTGCTGCTCACACACAACCTGCTTCAGCCCTTGGCCCTCCCAGCCCACGTCCTGCTGGACCTGACCACCGAGAGGCTCGGGCCCAGCTACAGACACACCCTGCAGGTTGGAGTGGATGGCAGACAGGTGGGGGCTCTGCTGACGGGGCCTTGGAGGGCTGGGGGCTGTGGGGATGGCCCAGCCCAATGGCCCCAGTCCCACGGTCATCCACCCTGACAGGTGTCTGAGGAGCTGACCTTCACTAGGTGGCCGGAGCACATCTCCCTAGACTGCACGTTCCAGCACAACATCCCCACACTGCAGACGCTGTGGGTGGAGGACAAGCTGGGCCTGCAGGTCAGCCTCAGCAAGTACCAGTGATAGTGGAAATCATTCATTCATTCATTCATTCAACAAACCTTTCTGGAAGTACCTCGGAGACAAGGGGATGGTAGAACAAGGTTCGGACCTCCCTCTGAGCCTCAGTCTCCTCATCTGGAAATTGGGGGTGCAAATACTCTTTTTTCTTGCCCAGCCATGTGCCCCGGGGCTGTTACACACTCTCCTCCTCCAGAGCTCCTCGCGCTCCCAGCAGACCTGGCGCTTGTCCTCAGCCCTCTTTTTCCCCGTTTTCCACACACACTCCCTTCATGGGCTCATCCAGTCTCACACCAGTGCCGTCTCTGCACTGCCATGTCCCCCATTTCTCCCTCCACTGAACCCCAGACCCGTAGACCCACCTGCCTGCTGGATCTCCACTCGGATGCCTGGCAGGCACCTCCGACTTGACTGTTGCAAGCCAGACAGGCCAACACCCCCGACCTGCCCCTCCCTGTCTCCCCATCTCCCCATCTCGGCAAATGGTACCTCGTCCATCCTTCCAGTCGTGCAGTCAAACCCTTGAAGTCAACCTGGATTGACCAGCCTCCACCCAGGAGCCCCCCAAGAGTCACCTCATTAGCACAAAAGACTCTCCTATCACCCAGGAAATTCTAAGGGACTTAGGAGCTCCACGTCAGATGCTCCTGTCACCCCCATCGCTCAAGAATTTACAAGGGTACAGGGGCTCTGTGTCAGGACTGGGGTTAAAGACCAAATATTAGCAGGAACCGGGGGCAGAGACATCTATATCTACATCTTTCTTCTTATTTCACACCCTTCCTAGCCTCTTCCCAGCTTTCTCTTTTCCATCATCTTCCCATTGTTTGACACGTGACGCCTTTGACCTTGTCCTGGTCTGTCTCCCACTGCTGGTGTTTAAGCTCCACGGGGTCAGACATTTCTGTCTGTCGTGTGCATGACAGCATCCCTAGGTTTAACAGGGCCCAGCATGTAGTAGGTGCTCAGTCAGCATCGTTGAATGATGGAGTGACACTTCCCACTTTATAGAGTGGGTGACATAAAGCAGGGAGGGGCCTCGCCACCTGTTGCCACGCACTGTGTGTTCGGCCAGTGATGGCTGCCGTGCTGTCGTGGCTCCAGGGATTAACTTACGTACATATGGTGGGGAGGTTGTGAACTCAAAGGCCTTTGAGGGCCAAGGTGTGTATTTTTAACTTTCTGAAAAAATTTGAAAAAATTTTATTGTTAACTTTTTTATTGTGGCAAAATATGTATTGACCATTTGAACTATTTTAAAGTGTACAATTTAGGGGCACTTAGTACGTTCATAAATTTGTGCGACTACTCCCTAATTCAGAATGTTTTCATCGCCCCGGATGGGAACCCTGTACCTGGTAGCAGTCACTCCTCAGCAGGCAGAGCCCCTCGCCACCAGCAAAACAGCACACGTGTAGTTAGCCACGTGTAACCTCCAACCTGCTTCCTTGAAGGGGTCCCGGTTCTTCCCATCCCAGCGGCATGGGTGGTACAAAACCCCAGGGTTTGTGGGAGCTGGTGCCCGCTGGGCTGGGCTGACGCTCTCTGTGCAGGGTGGTCCAGCATCTCCTGGGTGTCATTCCAGGTCTCCGTGGACGTTCACGACAGTGACTCTGGCTTTGAGAATTTGGGACGCGTCTCGGCAGGGGCCACGTCTCTGAACTACTCCGTGAGCTGCCATCACCGCGATGGGCGCCTGGAGCTTTCTGGCTGGAGTGAGCACGACAGCCAGGCCCTATGGCAGGCGGGGTTCCCAGCAGAGGCCCGCATCAGCGCCGAGCTGCAGACACGCGGTAAGGCCGCCAGGCACTGCCCATGGATGAGAGCTGGCTTCCCCCATGTGGGGACTGCCCGCCAGCCTAAGGCCCAGTTGACCCTGAGCTCCAGGACTAACCAGCACACGCTTGGCCTTGGAGCCTCACTCCTAAGGGAGCGTCTATTCACTTCCCAGGGCTGCCAAAGCAACGTACCATAAACTGGGTGGCTTAAAACAACAGAAGTTTATTCTCCCGCCGTTCTGGAGGCCGGAAGTCAGAAATCAGGTGTTGTCAGGGCCATGCTCCTTCCAAAGTCTTCAGGGGAAAATCCTTCCCTGCCTCTTCTAGCTCCTGGTGGCCCCAGGGGTTCCTGGGCTTGTGGCCGCATCACTGTGATCTCTGCCCCTGTGTCTCTGCCTCTTCTCTTCTTTTTATGAGGATGCCAGTCATTGGACGAGGGCCCGTCCTAATCTAGCGCCTCATCTTGGCTGGATTACCGCTTCAGAGACCCTATTTCCAAATAAGGCTGCATTCACAGGTCAGGGACTGAGGACTTCAACATAATTTTTAGGGGGAAACAGTTTAACCCATATTGGAGGAGGAAGGGAAGATGACAGTGATAAGAGCCACCATTGATTGAATGCTTACTGCATACATACCAGGCAAGTCCTCAATGCACAGGAGCTAAGGGAATCTGCTCAGCCATCCCATGCACACCAAGGGAAAGTTGAAGCCCCCAGTGGGGCCTTCGGGCCCTCAGGAGCCACACCCTAACCTCTGACCTCTCTCCTGGCCCCTGCTCATTCCACTCCTTGATATTCCTCCAACGCATGAGGCTTGCTCCTGCCTCAGGACCTTTGTACAGGCTATTCCCTCTGCCCGGAATGCTCTTCCCCACAGTCACTCTCTCACCTCCTTTGAGTATTTCTCAAATGTCGTCTCCTCAGTGAAGCCTTGCCTGCTCCCCCTATTTATTTGCACCCCCACCTCTCTCCAGCTCTCCCCATCCCTCTCCCTGGCTTTGTCATTCTAACATACCGTGTAACTTACTTTTTAAATATCTTTATTTCTCATTGCCTGTCTTCCACTCACCCCACACTAGAATGTACACTCCACAAGGACGGGGATGATGTTTGTTTGCAGAGTGACAGATAGTAGGTGTTCAATTAATCATCTGTTGAGTGAATGTGTGAACATATGAGAGAGGGGTTAGTAACACCATCCCCATTCTGCAAGGGAGGAACAGAAGTACAGAGAGGTTGAGTCACTTGTTCCGGGCTACACAGCTGGTTAATGATGAATCCAGGTGGTATGACTCCAGAACCATCCTCTGACCCCTGTGTAGATTGTGGAGATCAGGATCCCTGTGTGTCCCAGAGTCCCTTGGGTCACCTTCTTCTGGTCTCAAACTCTTCCATCCTCGGCTCTCAGCATCCTGTGGTGTGAGCGGGGGTCTGGGTCAGACAGGCGACTGTCTCGGTGTGCGCTGACCTCACAGACTGCTCTGAGGAAGGGTTTGTAGGGGGTGTGGGAGGAAAGTAATAGGACAGTCGTCCCAGGGATAATTTCCACACTCCAGTTGCCCGGGGCCAGGAGGCCTGGTGTGCTGGCCTCCAGCCAGGGTGACCTCTCATCCCCCACCCACTGCCGTCCCAGTCCCTCGGGGGGCGTTTTCTGCCTGGCATCAGCATTCTCGGTGACTTCCCACAATCTGGAACCTCCCCGGGCAAGAGGACTTGGTCCCCTTCACTGTGTGTCCCCTCGTTCCTCATGCCCCCCCCCCCACATAGTAGGTGCACGTGGTTGAACATTGCATGATGAAGGAAGGAAACGACCCCTTCCTGAGACCTGCTATGTGCCCCATGCACAGGTGTTCGCAGATGTGGAATCTCAGTTGATCTTGGCAATGTCCCTCGAGGTGGGCGGGCTGTGCCCACTTTATAGGTGAGGAGACTGAGGCTCAGAGCTGCCAGTCTTGTCTGTGTCTGCCAGAGAGGGCCACCCTCCCTGCTAGGCCCAAGTGGCAGGTGATGGGGCTGGGCCAGATCCTGGACTCTCCTTTTCTGGAGAGTTTTTACCTGCTGCGAAGATGAGGGGCAGCCCAGCGGGAGGCAGGGGACTGGAAGAGATGCCCCTGTGGGGTGGGAGGGGACAGAGACCCTCCAGCCTGGGCCAGGCAAGCTGCAGGTCAGTATTATTTGATATTGATTTGATATTTGATTGACCCTGAAGAGACGCATCATTGGTTTGTTCATTCCCTCAACAAGTACCGGACACCTATGATGTGTCTGGCTGGGGCTGTGCTGAGTGCTGGGGTTATAGCAGAGAATGAAACAGACTAAAGCCCCTCGCATCATGGAGCTGACCTTCTGGCAGGGGAGGGAGCAGGAAGCGCTGGGAGGTACTTTAGATGGGCAGTCATGGGGGGCTTCTCGGAGGAGTTGTCCTATCAGCAGCGACTCCAATGAGAGAAGGAACTGGCCAGGCCTAGATTGGGGGACGCCTCATGACAGATGATGTCACTGGGACTCAGAGAGGTGAAACACTTGCCCAGGGTCAATCCCCCTGGTATCCTCAGGGTGCGACCCTAAACTGGGAAGGGAGGTGAACCCCAGTCTCTAGCAGCCTTTGCCATTCTCTGCCTTTAGAGACCCAGACCCAGGCCCATGTGGTCCTCCAAAGTGGGGATGGTGGGATCAGCATGGACGTGGCAGCCCTGGTGGCCTGGCCGGTGAACGGCCCTCTGGAGCTGGTGGTGAATGTCAGCCACACGGCGCCCGCTCTCCGGAGGCTGGGCCTGCCCTTCGCCAGCCAGGTGAGGAGTGGGTGGCCAGCCTGGGCAGGGGCAGGCTCCCTCCTAATCCTGTCAACTCCCATCCTGTTCCCGGGAGCAGAGGACCACTGTGTGCAGGATTGACCGGGATGCTCTTGCCTTGTGTCTCTCCAGCACTTTACAGTTTGTAAAGGCTTTATTAATAATAGTAATAATTGTAACCAGTGTCTACTGAGTGACCTCTGTATTCCCAGCTGTGGGGCTGATGTGGACTGGCCCCCTGCATCTCTGTGTTCCAGTTCCTGATGCTGTGTCCTTTCCGCCCTTCCACTTTTTAATCAAAATCAAAGCTCAGCTTCCATTTGTAGAGCGCCTACTTCGTGCTCGGCACCATGCTAAGGGTTTTATATGCATTGACTCATCACCTGACACCCCAGCGAGAGGCAGAGCGGCACAGTTGTTACAGAATGCCGTCTCCGGAGGTCAGTCCCAGCTCTGCCTTTTGCTGGCTGTGTGGCCTTGGGCAAATTCCTTAACCTCTCTGTGCCCTCCATCTCCTCATCTGTGAAATGGGGATAATAATTGTGTCAATAATGTGGGGGTTGTGAGGATGGAGCGAGGAATACCAGGAATGCACCTGGGACAGTGTGTGGCTGAAGCAGATGCTTTAGAAGCTTCTGCTGCTCTGGTGGTGATGATGATGGTGGTAGCTGTAATCATCATCATCATCATCTCTGGGTCACACATGAGCGCCTAGGTGACCTGCCCAAGGTCACATAACAAGTAGACATCAAAATAGGGACTCAGGCTTGGTACGGGGCCCTTCCATGAGATGCTCCCCGCCAACAACCTCTGAGAAAGGAAATGTGCTGTGGCCCCACTGCACGGCGCCATGTCCCAGCCACTGTCGTTTGGTGTGAACTCACCTTGCTTGGCTGGGCCCTCCCACTCCCCCACAAGTCACAGAGCGCACGCATCAAAGCCTCTTTTCCAACCTCCTGTTTTGGACTATCCAGCAATCCCCCTGCCCCTCACTGCACCCTGCCGTGGGAGCAGTCCTGGAGGGCCAGGATGTCACTGTTCACGCAGAGGGTCTGCGTCACTGTAACCCACAACGGAGCAGCCCGAGCTCCCTTCTCCCCTGACTTCATCTGAATCCCCTTTTCCTGGCCTCAGGACCGGGTGATGGAAGACCCGTGGGGAGGTCATTCTTTGCCGACGTCAGGGGCGCAGGTCTGCACTGGGGGCCCACAGTAGGCAACCTGGGCTGCAGTGAGGGAGCCAGTCCAGGCCCTGCCCAAGGGTCCTCACCGTCCAAGAGGTTGTTTGATGGGACCAGGCCTGATGGGCGTCTGCCACGCCGGGCAGGGGGGGACAGGGACATGCTGGGGCTGTGGAGCATGGCCTGGCCTGTGAGGGTCCTCAGGCCCCTACCCTCCCCACACCTCACAGCCTTCCCCCCGATCCCTCTTCAGCTCATGTTCTGGGAGCTCTGGACAGAGGAGGAGATGAGTTCTTCCCTGCAGCTGACCTGTGATTCTCAAGCCTGCCTGGTCTTCAACATCCGTGGCCAGAACCGGGCGCTCAGGTGAGGGGTTCTCTACACTCTGGGGGCCCTGAGAGGAGAGGAATGAGTGAGGGAGACCACAGCTGAGCACTCCTGACCTACAGCCCCACTGCACAGGTGTGACAAGGGAGGCTCAGAGAGGCCAAGTGACTTACCTAAGGTCACACAGCTGATAAAATATCTTTGACCTCTGGGGGCAGGACATGGATGAGGAGTTCTTGGTCTCACAAACTAAATGCATCCCAGGCCTCTAGTACATATTAGTAACTATTACGGCTCTTCAATCCAGGGACCTACTGGGTGCCGGGGTCGGGGGTCTTACAGTCAGATGAAGTCAGGTGGCCAGTGGTTCTCACCGGGGGGCGAGTGTGCCCACCCAGGAGTGTCTGGCAATGTGTGGGGAAATGTCTGGTTGTTACGACTCGGCGTGGGATGCTACTGGCTCCTAGTGGGCGGGGGCCAGAGGTGCTGCCAGACCCCTGTAACGCACAGGTCAGCCCACGACAGTGAATCGTGTGGCCCAAGGTGTCAGCTGCGCTGAGGGTGAGACACCCTGGTGTAGAGACACCACCAGGCCAGGACAGCCCCCAGGGCTGGCAGCAGTGGGGAGACATGAACACCCCAGCCTGAAGAGGCAAGGAAGGGGTGCTGGGAGGGAGCCCGGGTTTAAATCCCACCGTCCTCTCTGCTGAGGCTCCACTGGCCAAGCCCGAGGGGGCCCTCGGTGGGCCTCCAGAAGACATGCCTCCCGGTACCACCCAGCCCCTGTGCTGAAGGGGAAACTGAGGGACTTGCCCAATGTCCCTGCCCAGGACCAGGCAGAGGCCAAGCTGGGATTCAAACTCAGGTCGCCTGGGGGCAGGCTGCAGCCCCGACCATTACAACCGATGGCCCTCAGGCCTCGGGGCGTGTGAATAGCCCTTTATCGCTATTCTGCTGCTGTGTTCCTGAGTCTCCACCCCTCTGCTGGGGAGGTTGGCTTGGTCCTGACCCGGCCCTGGAGGCCCTGGACAGGGTGCGCTCAAGCCAGGCCTCTCACATCCTCTTTCTTTCCAGCAAAGAGCTGCGGCTCTCAGGCCGGCATCACCTCCCCATCCTCCTAGGCTGCTGCCCCAGCAGAGCCTCAGCCTCAACCAAGGTAACTGTGTCCCCGCCTCCCCCGAGCTCCTAACTGGTTCCAGGTGCCCTGCCCGAGGCGGGTGTGGAGAGTGTTAACACATCCACATCTGTCTGCCGGCTGCACAGGCCCCCGTGGGCGACGCTCGGAAACCCCTGGCTCCAGCTTTCCCAAACAGGCCCAGGTTTACATTCCTGGGCTATAGCCCCTGCGGCCCCCAGCCAGGCCCACGAGACCCTTAGGAGCCAGGGGAGGCTCTGCCCGCCTGGTGCCTGGTGCCGCCTCACCCGGCCTGGCACGCTCCCGGTCGCTGGATCAGATGACACGGCCTCAGATGAGCTGAGCCAGCATCACCTCCCAGGTGTCCCGTCTGCCTTCCCACGGGTCTTTGCGTGTCTTCATGCCCTGTGTCCACAAATCCCATTTTTACCTGGAACCCCCAGCATCTCCCGCACTCATGCATCTGCCCTGTGTGTAGCATCTGGAGGTCCTGGGGGAAGACAGGAGGACCCATGAGACCCATGATTCCCCCTCCCTCCGTGCTGCTGCCATTGTTTATTTCTGTCTGCCCCTCTTCCCCAGATCAGGAGATCCTGGAGGGTGTGCCCAGCACCTGGCACAGGGCCCAGTACATAGTAGGTGCGTGTAGTGAATGAATGAAAGAATGAATGAATGAATGACAGGATGTGTAAATGAGTGAGTGATTAAAATCACCAGCTGGTCACTTCATTATCCCACCAGCCACCCAGTTTTGTTAAAAGCCCTCCCTGCCCTGGGCCAGGCTGCCTTTGTTTATAGAGCACCTACTGTGTGCCAGGCCCTGTACCCACACATCACACAGAATCTCAGTGCTCCCCAGATTTCACTGCACCATCATTTGGGGAACCTCTTAGTTTTCCCCTAATCTTTATTTTGAATAATTTCCGACCTATAGAAAAGTTATTGTAGGACAGTGGACATTTACCAGTCGGTTTTTTCCCCAGTTTTATTGAGATGTAATTGACATACAGCTCTGTATAACTTTAACATGCACAACATACTGATCTGACTTACATCTATTGTGAAATAACTACAGTAAGTTTAGTCAACATCCATCATCTCATAGAGCTACAGAAAAAGAAAAGGAAAAAAAATTATTTCCTTGTGATAAGAACTCTTAGAATCTCCTCTTTTTTTTTTAAATTAATTTTTATTGGAATATAGTTGATTTACAATGCTGTGTTACTTTCGGCTGTACAGCAAAGTGATTCAGTTGTACGTATACATATATCCACTCTTTTTTAGATTCTGTTCCCATGTAGGTCATTACGGAGCATTGAGTAGAGTTCCCTGTGCTCTACAGTAGGTCCTTATTAGTTATCTATTTTATATATGTGTATATATCAATCCCAATCTCCCAATTTATCCCTGCCCCCCTTTCCTCCTTAGTAATCATAAGTTTGTTTTCTGCATCTGTTTCTGTTTTGTAAATTGGTTCATTTGTACCTTTCTCTTCTCTTAACCACTTTCAAATATACCGTCCAACAGGGTTAACTGTAGTCATCCTGTTGTACATACATCCCTGGTATTTATCTTGTATCACCAAATGTTAATATCTTACCACGTCTTTCTATTTATACTTACATATGTTATATACATTTGTATATTCGTACACGTATTTTCTGTATTATTGTGAGTTAATATTGAGTTGTTTCTGGAGGCATCTCTTTACTCCTAAATACTGCAGCGAGTATTTCCTATAACAAGGGTATTTTCTTGTATAACACAACAGAATTACAAAATTCAGGAAATTTAACATGTGACATAATACCATTATCGAATATATGGTTCATCATAAAATTTCCCAGTTGTCACATTCTTCTGCAATAATGTTCTTTCGAGCGGTTTTGTTTTCTTTGTTTTAAATCCAGAATGCAGATCAGGATCATCCAGGGTATTCAGTTTCTTAATCTAGAAATTCAGTTTCTTAATCCGAAATCTCTTTAGTTTCTTAATCTAGAACAGAGGTCTGCAAACTTTTACTGTAAAGGGCCAGATAATAAACATTTTAGCCTTTACACCCAATACCCTCTCTGTCACAACTACTACCATTGTAACAAAAGAGCAGCGATAGACAGTATGTAAATAAATGGGCATGGTCGTGTTCCAATAAAACTTTATTTACAAAATGAGGCAGTGGGCCAAATTTGGCCCAAAGACTGACCCCTGATCTAGAAGTTCTCTTCCCACTGCCTACATTTTATTATTACACTTTTCAGACACTGAAAAATTAAAACAATTTTATAGTGAACACCCACATACCCATCACCTAGGTTTTTTTCATTCATATTTTGCTCTACTTTATCACATAGTTCTCCATCCTTCTTAATTTTTGATGCATTTCAAAGTAAGTTGCTGATATTGATATACTTGCCCCTAAGCATTTCATTGTCATTAACCACATTAAAGAAGAACTCCTGCATTGCACAACAAGGATTTACTGTGTAGCACAGGGAACTGTATTCAGTATCTTGTAATAACCTGTAATGGAAAAGAATCGGAAGCTGTATACCTGAAACTAACACAATATTGTAAATACGCTATAGTTAAATTTTCCTGCATTGATGATTTCGCAGTGTTCAGGCAGTTGTTTTGCAAAAATCCCCCATTTGAATTTGTCAGATTGTTTGTGTGAAACATGATTCAGGTTGAACGTTTTTGACAGGGGCATCACTAAATTAATGATGCTTCTGGAGAGCTCTTAAGAATACCAGTTCTTGACCCAGTTTCCAGAGGCTCTGTTTTTATAGGTCTTGGGTGGGGGCCCAGAATCTATATTTTCGGCAGGTGCCCTAAGTGATTCTGCTATTCAGCCAGCCTGGAAGTTAGCACATTATTTCATATAGTTTTCATATCAACCCATTAATAAAGTAGGTATCATTATCCCAATTTATCTGATAAGAAAGTGAAGGTGGTTATGGAACTAGCTAGAGGTCATTCATCCCATACCTGCTAGAGCCGGAATCGGGGCCCTGGTCTGTTTAATGCAGTGCTTGTGTGTTGTCCTCTGCAGTAGACTGCCCCCTGCTGTTCACAATGGTAATACAACTAGAATTCTTGCCTGCCCGCCCCAGGCTGGTAGCTATCTACAAGTCAGTGTTAACAGCGTGAAGGGCACAGGGAGACTGTTGTCATGGCCACACCTGGTGGTCTAAACTGAGCTTCAGGACCCTCATGTCATCAGAGTTTGTCCCATCCAGGGAGCTGTGCGTCTTTCGGGCCCGGGGCTTTGGGAGGCCGAGCTTGCTTAGTGTGGAGCCAGCATCTTCCTCAGTGTTCCGTCAGAGACTTGGATGAGGAGATCTGACTTGCTTTTCTTCTGGCCCAGCTACGATATTCTGAGGGTGGAGCCGAGAGCACATTTGCCTTGATGGTGGAGGAGCATCATTTCCACGTTGGCTCCAGGCTGGTGGCTGCTAAGAACAGTCTCACCAACATCATCACGCTGGAACAGACCTTCCCCCAGGTGCGTGGAGGAGGCCAGAGCCAGGGCTAGGGCAGGCTGGGAGGCTCCTGGGGCAGCCCTTTGAGAAAAGAGGAATTGTCCTGGTTCCTGGGAGGATCCAATGCAGGCAGAGCTGTGATATGGGCAAAATTTGCTGGAGTGGATTCTCAGCTGGCCTCTGTATCCATCCATCCTCCCTCCCTCCCTCCCTCCCTCCCTCCCTCCCTCCCTCCCTTCCTTCCACATTATTTATTGAGCATCTACTAGGTGCCAGACCAGACACTATTCCAGAAACTGGGGATGTTGCTTAGAACAGGATTGATGAGTCCTTCCTCTCATCAAGTGTACAGTCTAGTGGGGAGATTGACCAACAAAAAAATCAAATAAGAAAATATACCAGATGATGATACATACTATAGAAAAAACAAAATGGGGTGATATGAGTGGGAATTACTGGGGAGCTATTTAGGTGGCCAGGAAAGGCCCCACTAAGGAGGTGACATTTGAGCTGGCCGGAGATGACAAGCAAATATCAGCCATTTGAAAATCTGGTGGAAAGAAGATACACAGACGGTCAACAAACACGTGAAAGGATGCTCAGCGTCACTAATCACTAGAGAAAAGCAAATCAAAACCACAGTGAGGTATCACCTCACACCAGTCAGAATGGCCATCACCAAAAAATCTACAAGCAATAAATGCTGGAGAGGGTGTGGAGAAAAGGGAACCCTCTTGCACTGTTGGTGGGAATGTAAATTGATACAGCCACTATGGAGAACAGTATGGAGGTTCCTTAAAATACTACAAATAGAATTACCATACGACCCAGCAATCCCACTACTGGGCATATTCCCTGAGAAAACCATAATTCAAAAAGAGTCATGTATCACAGTGTTCATTGCAGCACTATTTACAATAGCCAGGACATGGAAGCAACCTAAGTGTCCATCGACAGATGAATGGATAAAGAAGATGTGGCACGTATATACAATGGAATATTACTCAGCCATAAAAAGAAACTGAGTTATCTGTAGTGAGGTAGATGGACCTAGAGTCTGTCATACAGAGTGAAGTAAGTCAGAAAGAGGAAAACAAATACCATATGCTAACACATATATATGGAATCTAAAAAAAAAAATGGTACTGATGAACCTAGGGGCAGGACAGGAATAAAGACGCAGATGTAGAGAATAGACTTGAGGACGCTGGGAGGGCTAAGTGAGACGGGGGGAAGCTGGGACGAAGTGAGAGAGTAGCATTGACATATATACACTACCAAATGTAAAATAGATAGCCAGTGGGAAGCAGCCGCATAGCACAGGGAGATCAGCTCGGTGCTTTGTGACCACCTAGAGGGGTGGGAGAGGGAGGGAGGGAGGGAGAAGCAAGAGGGAGGGGATATGGGGATATATGTATGCATATAGCTGATTCACTTTGTTATACAGCAGAAACTAACACACCATTGTAAAGCAATTATACTCCAATAAAGATGTTAAAAAAAGAAGAAAAGAAAAAAGAAAATCTAGTGAAAGAGCATTCCAGGCAGAGGGAACAAGACGTGCAAAGGGCCTGGGCAGGAATGAATTTGGCATATTTGAGGAATGGCCACTGGGCTGGAGCAGAGTAAGTGAGGGGGAAATGGTGGGCAGTAGTGGGAATCCAATCATGCAGGGCATGTCAGGCCACAGGGAGGAGTTTGGATTTTATTCTCTCTGAAATTGGACGCCTTTTGAGGACACTATCCAAGGGGTGCTTTCAGATTCCTCTGGCTGCTGTGTGGGGAGGGACCTACAGGGGACAGCAGAGACAACAGTGAAGAAGCCAGTGGGCAGGGCCAGAATGATGATGTCTTGGACCAAGGTGGGGGCAGTAGTGATGGGCTTTAGAGACATTTAAGAGTCAGTTTCCCTCGTCCCACCAAAAGTCCCCTCCACCCTCCACCTGTGGCACCCACCAGCAGGGAGAGTGCTCCTTGCTGAGCCTTTGCACAGGCTGTTCCTTCTGCCTAGAATGCCCTTCCCTGCTTTGTCCACTTATTTTCTTTGTGTTTCTTTGTCCCTCTAATATCTTTCGTGGCTACTCTTGTCACCTTGTCCCACCATTTTCTGTCTCTGTGACTGTCTCCCCACCAGCCTGGAGGCCCTGAAGGGCCAGGGCCAGTCTTGTTTATCTTTGTACCCCAACCCCCAGCACTGGGTCAAGGACATAATACGTGCTCACTAAATGTTTGAGAAATCCTACTACCAACTGCAGCAGCCCCACATGGCATTGTCCATGGGTCCAGCCCTGGGCTGAGCACATCACACCCATTATATCACCGAAGTTGGCACTGTTATTCTTACCCCATTTTATACACAAGGAAATGAGGCCCAGAGAGGTTGGGAAACTGGCCCAAGGCCACACAACTTGGAAGTGGAGCTGAGAGGCGGCTGTCCTCTTTACAGGGGGCGTCGGTCTCCTATGTCACACCCCTTGCACCCCCTCACTCCCCTCCCTTACATTATCTGCCCAGCCCAGTAAACTGTTAGAACTTTGTTTCTTGTGTTTCCTCTTCTGAAAGCTTCTCTCCTTTCCTACCCTCAGCGGGAACATGGGCCGGGTTCCCCTGTGACCCAGCTCCATCTTTCTCTTCCAGCTCCACACCCTTCCTGGGGAGCTGGTCCTGCAGACCTCATACGAGCGAGCCCGTGGCACCCGTGTCCTGCACCACATGGTGCTCTGGGATGGCCAGGAGATGGCCATCAACGGGAGCCTCTCCGGGCCCTTCCTCAAGCCCACCGGGACCCTCAGCCTGCAGGGTGAGTCTCCCAGTGGCTGCAGCAGGGGTGGCCCATTCACCCAGTCACTCAGAGCACCATCATTGAGCACCTGCTTATCCCAGGTGCTGTTCCAGGTGCTGGGGATCCACTGGGAAATAAGATGGCCCAGGTCCCCGCCTTCAGGGAGGCAGGCTGTGAGCAGGGACACATACTGAACAAGATAACGTCAGGGTGTCTCCTAGAGAGAAGGGCTGAGAAAACAAGCAGGGCTTGGTTTGGGGGCCTGGAGCTCCTCCAGGTGGGGTGGTCGGGGAAGGGCTGTCTCAGGAGGTGATGTTTAAGCTGAGCCCCGAGTGCCAAGAAGGTGAAGCTCTGGGGAGATCATTGCAGGCAGAAGGAACAGCAGGTGCAAAGGCCCTGGGGTGGGAACAAGCTTTGTGGCTGGAGCAACAGCAGCAAGGCCAGTGTGGCTGGAGTGGACTGAAGGGAGGAGCAGGGGGGAGATGAGGTGGGAGAGGTCAGGGGAGCCAGGTCACACAGGATCCCAGGCCCGGACAAGGAGTTGGGGTTTTACCTGAGTGTGTTAAGACAGGAGGGTAGGGCCAGGGCGTGGAAGGTGTGCCAACTCTGAGCATCCCCGAGAGGTTTCAGAGCGGAGGCTGACAGACTGAAGGTTGGCAGGGGAGGTGAGTGCAGCCCCAATGGTGGCACCCGTGACCCCTGCGGCCCTCCAGGAAACAACCCTGTCCCCAAGGGTCTGTGCACACAGACTGTCAGTTAGTGTTTGAGGAGCCCCCTTACACAGAGCAGAGCCCGACCTGCTGGCCTGCCAGGCGGGAGACACGGTGCAGACCCTGGCCCCGGGGGACGGCTTGCTGAGTGGCCCAGTGGAGTTCCCCATGATCACGGTTGCCACACATGTGCCCTGCAAGGCAGAGGAAATGAGAAGACCCTCAGCACGCCAGGGCGGTGTGTGATGCCCTCGTGTGCATGTGTGTAGCCCTCGTGTGCATGTGTGATGCCCTCGTGTGCATGTGTGAGCGTGTGCGTGCTCGGGGGCCCGTGGGTGGGCGGAGCAGTCCGTGGACCCTGCCAGGTGCTCACAGAGCATAGGAGCCAGCAGGTCAGGGGTGGAGGGAATGAGGGCTGTGGCTCTGCATGTGGCATGCAAATGTGGTCAGTGCTCCCTGGACTGGTGACCAGATGATGCCTTGAGAACCAGCTGGTGCCACCGTCTCTGGGCACAGCTCCCCAGAGTCTGTGTGGGGACAGGCAGCACCCCTTCCAGAGGGCTCAGAGGGCAGCACGGTGGCTGTTGTCTGCAATGGGGTCTTGGTGGACACCTGCTTTAGGGGTCTAGGAAGGCAGGACCAGTTGGTGGCCTCACAGGATGGGATCAAGTGGTGCAGGAGGTCAGGGCAGCTGGACTCAGCCTTAAGGGATGCAGGAAGAAAATCTAGGGCAAGGAGACTGTCTGCTGTGAGGCCTCAGCTATGAAGGTACCACCTGTGTCACACCCCAAGGTGGAATGAGATCATGGGGCAGGTGAGTGTGGCCAGGTAGGTGTGGGACATTCAAAGAGGCCTGGGCAACCATGAGTGTGAGGGACCTGAGAATGATACAAGAAGGAGACTGTATCAGTCAGCTATTGCTGTGTAACAAATGACCCCAAACTCAGTGACTTATAGTAATAAGTATTTATCACTGCTCATGGGCCTGTGGGTCAGCTGGGCAGCTCTTCTGGTCTTACTCACGCATCAAAGTCAGCCCCAAGTTGGGTAGGTGGTGCTGCTGATCTTGGCTGGGCTTTCTAACGTGTTCGGGGGCTGGCTGCCTGTCAGCTGGTCTGGGACAGCCTCGACCGAAACATTCAGGTTCTCCTCTGTGTGGTGTCACCGTCCAGCAGGCCAGCCTGGATTTGTTCTCACAGTGGCTGGGCAGGGATCCCAGAGAGCCAGTGGGAGCTGAGGACGCTTTAGGCCTAGGCTGGGTTTGCCTTTAGGCCTAGGCTGGGTTTGCCAGTGTCAACTTCACCAAATTCTACAAGCAAATCACAAGGCCAACCCAGTTTCAAGGGCCAGGGAAACAAATTCCACCTCTTGATGGAGGAGGTACAAAGCCTCGTTGCAGGAGTAGAGATTTGGGGTTCTCACGGGGACACTGAGGGACTATACTGAGTGGTATGGGGACCAAGTGAGGGTGTAGCTTCTGAATTTTGTGCAGATTACCTGAGCATGTGGCCCCCTATACCCTCTCGGCCTCGAGCTGATGTCCTCAGCTCATGTTCCCGCCCCTCCCCGTGTCCCTGCCTCCAGTGGAGCTCATCCACCCTCTGCCGCTCCCCCTGCCTCGGCACTGCAGCCTCCGCCTTGCCTCTGAGCATTCGCGACGCAGCCACCAGGATGACCTGGTCGTGGGCTGGGATGGCAAAAACCAGGTAGGCGTCAGGGCTGGAAGGATACCTGGGAAGCCCACCCTGTGGCCTGAGTGGGGCACTTGGGGCCCTGCCCTGCCCGAGGAGCCTTACAGGGCCAACAGGGCTGGGCCCCAGTCCCCAAGGGACCATCGGAAGGGCACTGGGTGGGAGGAGGAAACCTGGGTCCCAGCACCACCTGGGACAGGAAGACCAGTGGCTGACGCATACTGCAGGCCTCTTGTGTGCCAGGTACATCAGCCCCATTTCTAGAAGATGAAATTGAAGCTCAGAGTGGCATGAGGTCTTGCCCAGAGTCACGGAGCTACTGGAAGGCAGGGCTGGGATTTGAACCCATGAAATGCCCATGAAATGCCTCCAGCCACCACAGTGTGTCACTCCCAGTCCCATCTTTGTCATATGCTTGTCCCTATCTGCTTCTCTCCATGCCTCAACTTACTCCTCTGCAAAATGGGCTGAAGCTCTTGGAGGGCCTCCCACAGTGCTGGGCCAGCAGCCCTCACTTCCATGACCTTGATGAAGAAGGTTGCCTGCACTGGGTGGTGGGGAGGGGGTTGGCCTCTCTGGGGGAGCCCTCCCCCTCAGGCTGTCCCCTCCCCAGGTGGTGCTGTCCTCCTCTCTTCGTCTGGGAAAGGGCAAGCTGGCCGCCCACCTGGCCCTGGCTCACCCCTTCAGCCTCTCCTGGTGGCGGGCCGAGGCCAGTGGCCTTGCTGAGAGCAGGGGTGGCAGGCAGAGCCGGCAGGTGAGCAGGGAGCATCTGAGGGGCCCTGGGTGTAGGGGTCTTGGGGGTTGGTGAGCTGCGTGGCTGAGCCCACGGGTGGGGCATCTGGGACCACATGTGGGGGAGGAGGATCCCATTTGTTCATCAGAGACAAGGACATCTCTGGAATCACAGATTCCTGAAGCTTGGAACCCCAAAGGGACCTTCATTCATTCCTTCATTCCTTCATCGGTACCTTATTAAGCACCTACTGTGTGCCAGGCAGTGTTGAGGTGCAGACACAGTCCCTGCATTGATAAAGCTCACATTTTAGTGGGAGAAACAGTTACAAGCATGTCCAGTTCATCACTGAAGTGTCCGTTTGTTCAGTCAGTCACTGCAGGGGTTTGAGCAGGGCAGCTGGACTCTGCATCTGACTGGGAGGCCTTGGGCAGCTCACAGCACCTCCCTAAGCCTCAGTTTTTTTCTTCTGTGAAATGGAAGACGGTAGGCCAGTGTGTGCCAGGCAAAACAGGCAAAAAGACCAAAACTCAAGCAAATGAATGAATAAAGAAATTAACAGTTGTGGTAAGCACCATAAAGAAAGTAAGGAGGGTGCTAAGGGAGAGAAACATTGGAGTGTGGGGGGCTGCTTTAGATGGGGTGGACAGCGAGGGCTTCCTGGAGGAGGTGGTTTGTCAGCTGAGGACCCGCGGATGGGGAGGAGCTGCCTGTGACAAGCTGGAGAAGCAGCGCAGTCCAGGCAGGAGGAACAGCAAGTGAAAAGGCCCCGAGGTGGGGACGGGCTGGGTGCTTCAGGGAGAGCCAGAGGCAATTAAGACCGGGACCAGGGAAGCGATGGGGCAGGCGAGGGGGGAGATGAGGTCAGGGGAGGGGCAGCACGCAGGGCCCCTCTCTTGGCTCGGGCTGCCATAGCAAAATAGTCCAGGCTGTGTGGCTTAAACCGCAGACATTTATTTCTCACGCTTCTGGAGGCTAGAAGCCCAAGATCAAGGTGCCAGCACTGTCAGGTTCTGGTGAGAGCTCTCTTCCTAGCCTGCAGCCATCTCACTGTGTCCTTACGTGTCAGGGAGAGAGCTCTCTGGGGTCCTTCTTACAAAGACACTCATTCCATCATGACCCCCCCGCCCCAAACCTCATCTAACCCTAATCACCTCCCAGCGGCCCCACCTCCTGATGCTGTCACATTGGGGATTAGGGCTTCAACATACGAACTTGTGGGGTGATGTGAGTCAGTCCACAGCAGCCCCACGAACCCCAGTGAGGGACTCAGATTTCATTCTGTCTTTGGGAATGATGAGTCTGGGTGTTGAGAATGAGGAGTTTTCCATCTGAACGCCTCTGGCCTCCCAGCCTGAGCGTGGCTCTAAGCTCTTACGAACACGAGCGCAAGAGGAGGCACCGTCTCCACTCCCCACCTCTCTCCTCCGCCCGCCACGGGCCCCACCTCCTTGCAGGTACAGCTTGCCTGGAATGGAGGGCAGCCTGCGACTTTGCAGCTCACCTGGGCCAACAGGTCCTTGGCGCACAGCACCTCCTGGGATGGTTGCGTGGCCACCTCCCCGGGGCAGGTAGGCACTGGCTGCCCTGCTCATCAGGCACAGGCCTTTCTCTGAGCCCTGTGTTGCCCTCCCTCCCCCCAGTCACGTCCTCCATCCTCTTCAGCTCCAGGACACCTGGGGCCTGGGCGCCCTCAGGGCCTGTGGGGCCTTAACACAGACCCCAGCCGTGTTCAGCGAGTGGCTCGATCTGTCCTGGGACGGACGCCGGGTGCAGCAGAACCTGACGTATGAGGTGAGGCCTGGGGGGTTGGGGGTCCCCACCTGCTTCAGGAAGTGCCCGGCTCTGGGGCCCTAGGGTCCTGGGTGTAAGTGCTAGTTGTGCTGTGGATCCCGGGCAACTCATTTCTCCACTGTGAACCTTGGTTTTCTCATCTGTGAAATGGGTGCAGCAATCTTTCCCTGACTGGAGTGTAGTGAGAGCTCTGGGAGGTAAGGAAAGCAAGGTGCCCAGCATGAGGCAAGCACTTGGGGAGCAGACGGGGAAGGAGCTGGTGACGCCAGTGGGCTTCTGGGGAGGGGTGGGGGAAGGTCGGGAGGTCAGGTTTCCAGAGGTGTCAGGGTCAAGGTCTCTCCAGCAGCACCGCCTGCCTGGGGCTCCTGATGGGCTATGGAGAGACAGGGACAGCTAGCCCTGGAAGTCCCCTTGCCCCTTCTGGGTCTCCTTAGGCCCAGTCCCCCTCAGTCTCCCAACAGAAGTCCTGCTCAGAGTGTAAACGGCTGCTGTGGGGCTGACCAGGGCTCTGATGGTGGGATTTCTGGCATCTCCCTCCTCTTGTGAGGGTCTCCTGACTGCCGCTGGCCATGGGCACTCTCTCTTCTGGGACGAACCCCCATCCCACGGTGCCTTCTCCTTCCAGAGGCACCAGCCGTCCCGCCCGGACAAGATCCGTGCAGAGGCCACACTGGAGCACGTCCTCACGGCCTCCTGCACCACGCATAGTTTCCAGGGAGTCGTGGAGACTGACTATGCCCACTGGCTGCGCCATTCCCTGCATCTGGGGCTCTGCCACCTGCCCAGGGTGAGTCTGTCCCAGGGAAAGGCCCAGGGACCCTGGTGGTGAGGAGAGAGGAGGGTGCCCGCCCAGGTCAGGGGTGTGAGTGAGGGAGCTGGATGCCATCATCGCCACTGGGCAACCCTGGGCAGGGCTCTCTCCTCTCTGAACATCCAGTGCTTCATCTGAAGGATGGAAGATGCAGTTGGTTCCAGCATGTAGGGTGATTGTGAAATTTAAGATGTGACACTGGGAGAGTGCTCAACGCATAAACAAAAGCTGCTGCTTTCGTCATTATTGTTAGGGGGAGGTGTTGGGACCCCTATCCCCCCAAAATTCCCCCGAGTTTGTTAGCTAGTTGATTGGTCTTTCCTGCATTCTTTCCACCCTTCCTTCCGCCCACCCACCCACCCATCTTGTCAACCATCCAAACATCCATCCATCCATCTACCCACCCTCCCATCCTCCCTCCCATCCCTCCATCCATTCATCCCTCCATCCTCCCATTCCCCACATCCCAGGGGTCAAACGTTTTCTGTAAAGAGCCAGATGGTAAGTATTTTAAGTCTTGCAGACCATATGGTCTCTGTTGCAACTCTGGCATCGTGTCATGAAAGCCACCATAGATGACATGTAAATGAATGGGTATGGCCATTCCCAATAAAAATCTATCTACAAGGACAGGCAGTGAGCCAGCCTTGGCCCATGAGCCATAGTTTGCCAACCCCCAATCTGTTCATCCATTCAGAAAGCATTTGTAAGTCTTACCTCTGCCAGGCTCTGTTCTAGGTGCAGGGGCAAGGACGGTGAAAGGGACAGACGAGGTGCCTGCCCTCCTGAAGCTCACAGTCCAGTGGGTAGAAGAAGAAAAAACAGACAAGATGCATGATATGCAGTCAGGTGTGGTGAATGCTGTGAAGGAATGAAGCAGGGAGAGTGGACAGGGGACTGCAGGGGGCCTTGCTGACGAATGCAAACTGCAGCGGGAACAGCCAGTGCAAAGGCCCTGTGGCAGGAGCATGCTTCGAGTGTTTGAGGAACACAGGGTGGCCCTTAGAGAGCGAGAGGGCGAGGTTAGGAAGATAACGCAGACCCGTAGGACCCGCCAAGGAGACCGGCTTCTCCTCTAAGCGCAATGGGAAGGCAGAGGCTTTGAGCCGGGGGGACAGTGTCTGATTTGCATTTTTTTAAAACTTAGCCTGGCTGCCAAGTGGAGGAGGGGCTGTGGGCTGGGGCAGGAATGGAGGCTGGGAGACCTGATAGGCTATTGTGACAGTCCTGGCATGAGGGATAGTAGCCTGGACCAGGGCATAGGGAGAGGAAGCTGTGCTCCTGCACCTCCCTGACCACTGACACCCCACCCTTTCGTTCCAGGCCCTCTCGGTCTCCGGGGAGCACACCTTGGGCAGCGGTGGGCTTCTGCTACACTCCAAATGCCAGCTGGGCCTCGCCCCAGACCCAGACCACAGCCTGCACCTCAGCCTGACCCTCCGCAACCACAGCAGGCCCTGGATGCCTGACTTCTCCGGGGAGCTAGAGGTAAGGTGGCTGGGTCGGGGCTGCCCACCCCATAGGCAGGATACTCTGATGTCCCTCTGTCTCTCTCTGCCCAGTGGACCACCACTGCCTGGGTGGCTCTGCCATCTAGTGGCCAGTATTAGAACTGCAGACTGGCACCCTAGTGGGGACCTGAGCTTAACTGTAGGTGGGACCCCCTGTGGCTGGCCCCCCGCCCTGAGCAGCTCCTCTGCTGCCCCAACATCAGCCCTTCCTATAACCGAGAGGCAGTGGCTGGACTCCCAGGGTTTGAATCCCAGCCCAACCTCTTCCTGGCTAGCAACGTACTTTGCCTCTCTGTGCCTCAGTTCCTTCGCCTGTAAAGTGGCGGATAATCATTGCACCTACCCTACCTCCCATGGCATTAATATTGCAGGGATTAAGTATGTTAATTTGTATAGATTGCTTAGAATAGTGCCTGATACAAAGCAGCCACTAAGTAAGTATTAGCTGCTATTATTATTAGCTATTATTGGCCGAGTCTTCTCCTACCCCTTCCACCTCCCAGCAGCCCAGGGAGGTAGAAGGGGGCAGAGCTGGGTTCAATACCTGCTCTGCTCCCACCTGGCCAAGGGCTATTGGGAAGGGACCTCTTTGAGCCCCATTTCCTCATCTGTAAGTGGGGATCAGGTATATTTCACAGGGTGGTCAGTGGGGTTCTGGGCACCCCTCCCCTCCACCCACACAGCACGGGCATACAGGAGGGGCTCCATAAGTGCTGTCATCCACCCATCTCTGTGTCTCCCTGGCTGGGTGACCTTGACCTTGTGACTTTCCCTCTTCAAGCCTCAGTCTTCTCTGTCAAATGGGAACAAATCCCATGTCCTTTGCAGAATTGTTGGGAGGAAAAGAAACAGAGTTTGCACAGCACCTGCACACAGTAGGTGCTCATGAGATGGGATTTTCCTTCCAGCATCCAATGCCGGATGAGGCATTTCTGTGTCTGGAGCTCACTCAGATCCTGTTTCCGAGCCCAGGAGCGGTGGCAGTTTCAAAAGAGTTTTCCTTTCTGAGTTTCGCCAAGGCTGGCTCTCGTTTCCCTGTTTTGCCAGCCAGGCCCCCAGCCACTCCCGCACCTGTAATCCGGGTGCCCCAAGGCTCACTTCCCCAGAATCGGAGGACTGGGAGTGAGCCCCGTGGGGCCCAGCCCGCGGTGGGCGGCCAGGGAGTGGCTGGTCCTCCTGCTTCCATCCCGAGCATGTGCGCAGCTGGTTCTAACCGCTTCTCCCTTGCCCACCCCCTCTCTGCTTGCCCCATTTTGGGGTCCGTGGTGTGGAGAGAGGCCTTTCACAGCCTTGTTTGGTCTCTACACCAACCCGGTGGAGAAGAGGGACAGATTCGGGAGGTCAGGCACTCACCCCGGCTGCTGGGGCGCTCGCCACTCAGTGACAGTGACTAGGACGGACACCTCAGCTGTGGTCTGCAGGACACCCCCTCCTCAGGCTCACCTCATGCGCTGTGAAATCCCCTAAGGATTCCTGGGCTCCACCCCTCCCACCCACTTAGGAAGCTGCATGTTCAGTGAGCACCCTGAATTGGATTCCTAGGGCTGCTGTAACAAATTAGCCCCAACTCAGTGGTTTAGCACGACAGAAATTTCTTCTTTCACAGTTCTGGAGGTTAGAAATCTAAAATCAAGGTGTCAGCAGGGTTACGCTCCCTCCAGAAGCTCCAGGAAAGAATCCTTCCTCACCTCTTCCAGCTTCTGGGGGCTGCCAGCAATCCAGGCGTTCCTTGGCTGTGACTGCATTATTCCAATCTGTCTCTGTCTTCACATGGCCTTCTTATAAGGACACCAGTTATTGGATTTCGGGCTTACCCTAATCCAGTATGACGTCATCGTAATTTTATTTCATCTACAAAGAACCTATCTCCAAATAACATCACATTTACAGGTACCAAGAGTTAGAACTTCAACAGATCTTTTTGAGGAATATAAGCCCATAACACACCTCCTACACACACACACACACACACACACACACACACACACACACACACACATTCCTGATAAATTTTGAGAACCACCATTCTATATCTGATCTTATAGATTTTGAACCTGAGGCCCAGAGAGGGTAACACACTTACTCAAGGCTGCACAGCTTGTTAGCTGCAATATCTGGACTAGAATACAGAGCAGCTGAATTCAGGCCAGAGGTGGCTCCCCTCCCCTACAACGGCTTCTTAATCAGCCCATTGGCCTCCCCCCTGCAAGGTCTCCCTAGGGTTCCTTCTCTTAAGGCCTCTGAGGCTTTTCCTGCCTTTGCCCCACCCCATTCGAAACCCTCCCGTCTTGTGTCCCCTTCCCTCAAGGCTGGTGGCTGCAAGGGCTGGGATGAACTGCTCAGTGCCGGCCTTTATGCCAGGTGCTACCCACGATGTCTTCCTTGAACTTGCGGAGACATTTGCAGTGGTTCTCATGCAAACGTGGAAAACCTGGCCTGCAGGTGGAGACACCTGGGCACTGGGAACGTAAAAATGCCAGTGCCCAGCCCCTCCCCCAATCAGTTAAGTCAGAATCTCTGGGGTGAGGCCTCGGCAGCAGGAATTTTTAAGCTACTTGGATGCTGTGCGCCGCGCTTGGTTAGGTCCCTGGATGTGGATTTTAATAAGCATTTTCTGCAGTTGGTAGGATTCTGAGCCCTGTGGCAGGGGTGTAAGGTGGGGGGACCCAGTGCCCCTGAAGATGTGGAGGCGGGTGGGCATTGCCTTTTCCCTGCAGGTTCAACCTCACCCTCCTCAGCCACCTCTCCCTGGGCCTGGGGCCAACAGGGGCCAGAGGCCAGAGGCCAGGCTGCACTCAGGCCTCTGCCCTTCGCCTCCCAGCTCCGCGGCCCCAAGGCTCAGCAGTTTGGCCTGCTGGGTCGGGTCTCCACCTCAGCTTCTCGAAGCTTGGTCCAGCTGGAGGGAAATGTGGACGACGGGGACGAGAAAGTGAGGCTGTTGGTGTCCCGGGCCCCGAACTGCTTCCAGGCCTCGGTGGCCCACAAGGAAGGTGAGTGGAGGTACTGGTGTGGCTCAGCGGCCTGGCCAAGGCCCCAGCTTGGCCCAAGAGTGGACAGAGATTGGGGTGCTGAGAGCTCGAAGTCAGAGGAAACCCTGGTAGGACTTGGTGGTACCCCCAGCTTGGAGGTGATGCTGAGCTTCCTGTGGTCACCTGTGGTGCCAGGAGAGGCTGGGTAAGTCTGGACCAGAGGTGGGTGTGGGCTGGGGGATGGGGCAGAAACCAGGCTTCAGGGGTTTGGAGGTTGATTTAGGCAGTTCAGTTCAAGGCCCTCAAATCCTTGGGCCTTTGAGACTCTGCCTGTGGGCAGTGGGGAGCTACAGAAGGCTGTGGAGAGCGGGAGGAGTGGGCAGCTGGGAGGCAGATGGACGAGTCCTGGGTACAACGGCGGGTCCCTTCCTGGCCCCAGGGAGCCAAGAGGAGAGTGTGGTGCTGCGGGCATGTGCCCACAGGCGGACTGCGGAGGTGGAGGCCCTGCTCCAGGACAGCGGGCAGCCCATCCAGCCCCTGGGACGCCTGACCCTGCAGGCCGCCAACCAGAGCCTCCGCGTGGCTGCACACGGCTGCCAGGGGACCCTGCTGGGCCACGTGGAGGTGAGAGGGCCAAGGGCTGGGGGGAGGGGTGTTATTCCTACCCCCGACCCCCACCCTGCCCGGGCAGAGGCCACAGGACCAGGATCCCTAAGTCCAGGAGTACCAAGGAAACCAGAGGCAGACAGCCCGTAGTGTGGCCAGCACGTCCTTGGGCGTTGCTGCCGGCACCAAGAGCATTCTGTCCACTACGTTCCCGTGAGGCCCAGCCTGTCCCTCTGTGTCCGCAGTCCAGGGTGGCTGCTCTTGGGTCCCAGGTGCAAGCCCGGCTGGAGGAGAAGATCCATGGCTTGGACGCCTACGTGAGAAGGTTCCAGCGCCTGGTGGGTAGAGTGCACTGTGATGTCGGGGGCACCCTTGGAGAACGGGAGGGAGCGTGAGGCTGTGGGAGGTCACCCCTCTGGCTCGTCCCGGGCCTCCCTCATGGACATGAGGGTCTTCTGGAGCTTTCTGTGCCCCCGTTCCCCTGCCCAGGTGCAGCCGGCGGGTGCCCTGGATGGCATGGCAGGCCCCCTTCTGCAGCTGTGCCAGGCGGGGCTGGGGGCCGTGCGGGAGAGCGGCCGGGCGGTGGCCACGCTGTGGGACCAGAGCCGGGCCAGGCAGGGGCTGACACACCGCGTGGCGCTCTACCTGGAGAGGCTGCAGGCAGGGCTGGAGCAGCTGCGGGATGAGCTGGAACGTGAGTGCAGGAGTCAGGGCGTGACCGTGCACCCAGATCCACACCTGATCCCAGGGCCCCCGACCCCAGGCCCCTCACGCTCGGCCTGGGCTACTGGTTCAACCAGAAAGGCCACCTGATTTCTGGCAGGCCTGCAGCCCAACTTCCTTTAGACCCTCTGCCTTATTTCTCATGGATCTAGAGCCTTCAGACTTTTGGAAGTGTCCATTCTTGTCAGTCTCCAAGCTCATATCCCTCATGCCTGCTGCCTTCTCTCTTCTGGGACTGCTGCCCAAGTTTCTTCAGTCCCCGCCTGATTTCTTTTGGGTATATAGCTTTACTTCTATTAGGCCCACTGCCGTAGATTCTAGGGCCTATTTCTGGTTCTGTGATACGCACCAGTGAGACCGTGCGGGTCGTGAAGGCTGCTGTCCCGAGCGCCCTCCTGGCGGTGCTGGGACCACCCCCCCAGCCTCTCCCAGGAGCACCAGGGCTGACAGCTGGCCCAGCAGGGAGCCCCAGGACCTTGCCCAGCACAGGGCGGCCGTCCCTCTGACTGGCCAGTGCTCGGGCCAGACAGGCTATTAAATGTACTCTCACCCCTGCTTGTGTCCCTTTGTCAGAATCCCAGGGCCACCCCCAGCCTCGTGATTCACTAGGACTCGCAGCTCTCAGGACATAGTTGCACCCACGGCTATGATTTGCTACAAGGACAGGATACAGAGCCAGGTGGCGGAGGGACAGGTGCAGGGGAGGTTCTAGGGAGACCAAGCACGAGCTTCCAGACTCCTCTCCCAGTGGGGGCACACAGGACGCCCTCCACTCCCCCAGCTTTGAATTGTGACAACACGTGTCGAACGCTGTCTGCCAGGGGAGCTCGTCAGAGACCCTGCGCCCAGGCTTCTCACTGGGGGCTGGTCACGTAGGAGCCTCTGCCTGGCACAGACCAACATTCCAGACTCGCAGAAGGAAAGGGGGTGTTCAATGTAAACCACATTGTTCGTGCAATCCAGGCACAGTGAGGCCCTCTTATCAGGTCTGGGAATGGTGGGCACCCCCCAGAATCCAGCCAGGGCTGACCCTGTGAACAGGCCTTGCAGTTGGGCAGTCTCAGGCCTGCCGGGCTAACTCTTTTCCAGTCTCTAGTGCCACCACCTCATTCCAGGTCACAGGTCCTATTTCCTTCCTGGAGGCCCGGGTTGTCGGGGGGCTGGTTTTCCTTTGTGGGCCTGGGATGCGGGTAGCGGCATCTCACCTGCCACCAGGACCGGGAGGCCTCACGGTGGGTGGTGGCTGCCTTTGCAGGGCCCCTGGCCACGCTGAAGGATGCCTACTTGGAGGTGACAGTGCAGCCCCTGGACAAGGTGTGGCAGGAGCGGGCCGAGGAGGCCGTGCAGCGGCTGCAGGCCTGGGTGTCTGGGACGCCAGGGACCTGGGGGTCCGGGCCCATCGCTGCGGCGCTGGAGGCCACGAGGGGCGCCCTGGAGCTGGTGAGGTGGGGCGAAGGGGAGGGAGGTGGCCCTGCGGGCAGGGCAGGGATGGCCCTGACGGCTCTCACTGCCCCCACCTGCTCCAGGCCATCCACCAGATGCTGTCTTGGGCTGAAGCTGTGTTCTCACAGGCACTGAGGCAGCTCTGCAAACCCTTGCTGGACCTGTACAGCTTCTCAGCCAGGTAACTTGTCCCCTCTGGGGTCCTGCCCCACGCCAGGCACACCCTCCGTCTCATCTGCTCCCCTGACAGCCCTTCCATAGAGACATTTTCAGCCCATTTTACAGATAAGGAAACTGAGGCTTATTCTTCATTCCGCGGATATTTTATGAGCACTGTCTTTGAGCAGGCGCTGTTTTAGGTTTGCAGACACAGCGGCGAGTGGGATAGATCCTGGCCCTCACGAGGGCCATGGCTGAGCAGGGAGACGGTCACTGAACACAATGACCAGGTTATCTACCCTCAGGGGCGGCAGGCCTTCCTATAAAGGGCCTGAGAGTGATGTGTTCAGGATTTGTAGCCGATGGTCTACTCACGTAGCCTTCGTTTTTTGTTTTTGTTAAGAATCCTTTAAACAGTAAAAGCCATTCTTAGCTTGCCGGCCATTCCAAAGCAGGACACAGGTTGGATTCGGCCACGGACCACAGTCTACCGACCTCTGAGCTAGTATGTTAGGTACCAAGTGCTACAGAAAAAAAAAAGGCAGGACATGTGGGTTGATGGGGGCATTTTATTTTTATTTTTTAAATCTTTTTGTTTATTTTGGCTGGGGGGCACGTGGGATCTTAGTTCCCCAACTAGGAATCCAACCCGTGCCCCCTGCAGTGGAAGCGCAGAGTCTTAACCACCGGACCGCCAGAGAAGTCCCCGATGGGGGCATTATAAAGAGTGAGGCTGTGGTTGGCTTCAGTGAGAAGGTAGCATTTGAGCAAGGGCTTGAAGGGTGAGGGAGTGAGCCGGGTGCACATCATGGGAAGAGCGTTCCAGGCGGAGGGCACAGCTGGTGCAAAGGCCCAGGGGTGGGAGTGCACTTCCTGCTTGAGGAATCTGAAGGAAGCCAGGGGGCTGGAGTGGAGAGTGGAGGAGTCGCGGGGGGGAGGGGGGCGGGTAACGGGTTCCGGGCAGCCTGGGGCCTTTGTCTCTTACTCTGAAATGGGAACACACAGGAGATTTTGAGCTGAGGAAGGACATGATCTACCTTTCATCTAAAAAGATTCCTCTGGCCCCAGTGTTGAGAATAAAGACTGGGGGCAGGGAGGGGGATAGAAGCAGGGAGCCCAGTTTAGAATGGTCCAGGCGAGATGGGAGACTAGCTGCGCCAAGCAGTGGCAGCCACGGAGGGGTTGTGAGGCAGTCAGGTTCCGGGTGTTGTAAGGACAAGCCTGTAGGATTGGTTGACAGATTGGATGTAGGTGGTGAAAGAGAAGAGCCAGGGATGACTCCCAGGGTCTTGGCTTTGATGACTGGAAGGATGGAGGGTCCATCTACGGAGTAATGGGGATGACTGGTGTGCAGGGAGCAGCTTGGAGCTCTGTTGGTTTCCCGTGGCTACCACAGCAAATTACCACAAGTTCAGTGGCTTAAGCGACACAGCCGTGTTCTCGTGTAGTTCTGGAGGTCAGAAATTCAAAATGAATGGCAGGTTCCTCCGAGAGGCTCAGGGGATAGCCCTTCCCTTCCCAGCCCCTGCAGGCTGCCTGCTTGCCTCGGCTCGTGGCCCCCACCTCCATCTTCAAAGCCAACAGGGCAGCATCTTCTCCCCTCTGACTGTTGTCCTTATGTCTTCTCTCTGACCCTCCTGCCTCTCTTATAAGGTCCATTGTGATTCCATTGGCCACCTGGAAATCTGTCTCAAAATCTTTAGTGTAGTCACACCTGCAAAGTCCCTTTGGCCTCCTGAGATGACACAGTCACAGGTTCCAGGAACTTGGGCGTCTTTGGGGCTGTTGCTCAGCCTGCTGTGGTGGGAGTGGGTGTCCGGAGCTCTTTCCGACCTGCTGAGTTTGAGACGCCATCAGGACACCCCACTGAGGCAGCTTTCTGAGGCCTGGGCCGTAGAGCAATTTGGAGGTTTTGGAGGCGTCACTGGCCCTGAAGGAGCAGCAGAGCCAGCTTCAGGGACAGGCCTGAGGAGCCCCTTCCCCACACAGGCCGGAGGCCCCGCCAAGGCACATACGTTCAGGCCCCTGGCAGGAGATCAGATGCCTGCGTCCTTAAAATAGGACAGTCATTTCTACCCCCAGCCTCCAGCTCACAAACAAAGGCTGTGCCCTCCCTAAGAGGCTGACGTTCCGTGGAGGTCAGCTTGCGCCGGACCCTTACATGGCCATCCTGCAGCTGCGGAAAGTGAGGCTCCGACAGGCACGACTTGTGCTGGGGTCTCCCAGCTCCTCTGTGCTCCCTCCAGGGACCACTCAGTGGTGGTGACACTGCCGATGCTGCCTGCAGGGGACGAGCCCCTGGACGTGGCCCGGGTGACCAGCCACCTGGTGGAGGAGAAGCTGCTGCGGCCACTCCGAGAGCTGTATGGGACCAGCGTGCTGGCCGAGTACCACCGGCTCAAACACCGTCTGCTGGGGGCCCCCTCTGGATGTGAGTCCTATGCCGCCCTCCTCCCCGGGACCCCTCTACCCTTTGGAACGTGGCAGCAGGACCTGGCAGGGCCAGATAGACGGTGGGACCATCCCCTAGTAGTACAGGGAAGCCTTAGCATTGTAGTGCTGGGCCCATCTGATCCCAGGCTGATTCCAGAGGTTACTGGGCTTCCCAACGTCAAACAGGATGAGGGTTGGGCTGCAGATCCAGGCTTTTGGCCAGAAAGTAAAAGCCTGAGCCTGGAACCCAGCGCAGAGGCGTGGCGAGGGACTGAGGGCCAGGGCCAGCTCCCTCCAGGCAGACTCTGCAGGAGAAGCACCAGGCAGACCTCCAGTTGCAGCCGCAAGGCCACTAATTGAGTCCAGACTGTCCGTCAGGCAAGGCCCGGAGCCACAGGCAGTGTTGGGACCAGACGCAGCTCTGGGGGCCCTGGGGGCTTGGAGCCCCTGGAGTTTGCATCCGCTGCCCTGAGTGCGCTCTGGTGAGTCTCCTCTCCTCTCTGTCACCTGGAGGGGGCAACGTGGCTCACCGGTGTGGTAACGAGTGTGCGCCTTTGGTGCCCGGCAGGGTCTCAAGTCAGTGGGAAAGCTTGGTGAGGACTGGTATGTAGCATCAGGTCTTGTGATCTCACAGGTGGGAACGCAGAGGCTTGGGCAGGTGGGAGCCCCCCCAGAGTCTGGGGGTACTTGTCCGCTAGGCAGCGTGGCGACTGGAAACAGCCTGGTCTTTGGGTTCCATGTGTGCGATCTGGGACCGGCCTGTGACCTTCAGCTCTGACACCTGACAAGGGGCTCCTAGTGCCCTCCTCGTGAGGCCATCACGGGCTGGCACGGGCCAGCAGCTGCCGGGTACCTGGCCTGGGCGTGTGTTCAACGGGTGGGGCTTCTCTTACCCGACCCCCACGCAAGCCTCTGCTCCGCAGCAGCGCTGGCTCAGGGGGTCCGAACTGCCCTCTCTCGGGCCCCCTCCTGCCCACCGTGAAGAGGGCTGGGCCTGGCCCACGCGGCACCTCCCTCCTGTTGGATGGAGCCTTTGGCCGTACTTTTTTTTTTTTTTAATGAAGACATTTGACTTTTGTGGGGGCATTCTGTTGTTTCTTTTTTACAAAAATATTTATTATTTGGCTTCATTGGGTCTTAGTTGTGGCATGCAGGATCTTTCGTTGCAGCGCACAGGCTTCTCTCTAGTTGTGGCACGTGGGCTCCAGAGCACACGGACTCAGTAGTTGCGGCACACGGGCTGTCTAGTTGTGGTGCAAGGGCTCAGTAGTTGCAGGGCATGGGCTTAGTTGCCCCATGGCATGTACGATCTTAGTTCCCTGACCAGGGATCAAACCCACATCCCCTGCATTGGAAGTGCAGAGTCTTAACCACTGAACTGCCAGGGAAGTCCCTGTGTCATAGTTTAGATTCCACATACAAGTGATATCATGATAATCTCTAGTTGCATCCATGTTGCTGCACCTGGCATTGTTTGATTCTTTTTTATGGCTGAGTAATATCCCATTGTATATACGTACCACATCTTTATCCATTCATCAGTCAATTTAGGTTGTTTCCATGTCTTAGCTATTGCGAATAATGCTGCTGTGAACAGAGCGGTGCATTTATCTTTTTGATTTAGAGTTTTGTCTGGATATATGCCCAGGAGTGGGATTGCTGGGTCATATGGTAGTTCTGTTATTCGTTTTTTAAGGAAGCTCCATACTGTTCTCTGTAGCGGTTGTACCAATTCACGTTCCCACCAACAGCGTAGGAGGGTTCCCTTTTCTCCACATCCTCTCCAGCATTTGTTATTTGTAGACTTTTTAATAATGGCCATTCTGACCAGTGTGAAGTGGTACCTCATTGTAGTTTTGATTTGCATTTCTCTAATAATTAGCGATGTTGAGCATCTTTTCATGTGCCTATTGGCTATTTGTATGTCTTCTTTGGAGAAATGTTTATTTATGTCTTCTGCCCATTTTTCGATTGGGTTGTTTGTTTTTTTAATATTGAGCTGTATGAATTGTTTGCATATTTTGGAAATTAAGCCCTAGTTGGTCTCATCGTTTGCAAATATTTTCTCCCATTCTGTAGCTTGTCTTTTCGTTTGTGATGTCCTTTGTTGTGCGAAAGCTTGTAAGCTTGGTTCGGTCCCATCTGTTTATTTGTGGTTTTATTTCTGGTGCCTTGGGAGACTGCAGGTTGCCCATTTAAAGTGTCTGATTCAGTGGCTAGTGTGCGTCCATCACAGAACCTTCATCACCCCAAAAAGACACCCTGCATCCCTTAGCTCTGTGTCCCCGTCCCTCAGCTATACCCCCAGCCTCCTTTCTGTCTCTGTGGATTTGCCTGTTCTGGACACCATGTATGAATGGAGTCACGTAACACGTGCCCTTTTATAACGGGCTTTTCACTCAGCGTAAAGTTTCTGAGGTTCGTCAGTGTTGGAGCGTGCATCACACCTCAATTCACCTTAGGGGACCCCTAGAGCTCAAGTCATCTTGAAGCCAGAGGTTCTTGGGGACAGACCCCACTCCCCACGTGGGCTGCCCATGAGGACATGGGTCAGGGAGCAGGCTCTGCACAGGCTGGGCTGCCCCGTGGGCTCAGGTCCCGGGCACAGTGGGCCCCACTCCCCCTGCAGCCCGGCCTCTTCTCTGCAGACCACGCTGTGGTGGCCGGCACCAGGCATGTGGTGACCTTCGACGGCCAGGTGTGGGGCATCAGTGCCCACTGCAGCAGCCTGCTGCTGGCCAAGGACTTCGCTCACGACACGTTCTCGCTGACGCTAAACCGGGCGGGCTCGGGGCTCACGTCCCTGACCGTGGAGTTGAACCACACCACCCTCATCCTCTACCCCAGCCTGAAGGTGAGCCTGCAAGGGGGGGGGGCACATCGCCCAGACACTTTCCTGCCTCCTGTCACGTCCACACACCTGTGCCCTGTGGAGACTGTCACCTGTCCTGCTCAGCCCCTGTCTGGCCCACAGACCTACAGGCTGTACAACTCTTCCCTGCCTGGGGAGAGCTGTCTGCACCTGGATCTGCCTCCCGCCAAGACCAGGAGGAACAACGTCCCCAGGATCGAGCTGACCAGTGAGGACGGTGTCTCTGTTGTCTGTGACCTCCACGCCAGCCTCTGCAGCCTGACTCTCAGCGTCTGGCAACACGGTGGGTCTGGGCCCCCACTGGCGGCCTCTGAGCCAGTGCGGTCAGCATCCAGGGCTGAGATTGACAGATCCCAGTGGGCAGCACTCCGAGTCCTTGGGAGGCTGTGGGCAGGAGGCCCGGGGACACTCTTGGGCCTCTGCTGCTCCTCGGGGCTGACAACCCGAGCGGGTATCAGAACAGCCCAAACAGCTCAGAACTGGAAGAGGGTCAAAGGCCATCTCTCCTGGCCTTGATCACGTCCAGCACTGGGACAGCCCCTAATCCAGCGGCAGCGCAACTCTGGCTGCAGCCCCGCTGGCTGGCCGCTGCCCCGTTTCAGGCACTGCAGCGCGCACGGCCTGCTCCTTCTCACGTGATCCTCCCGCTGCTGTCCCCTGGGACACGTGACATGACCCAGGCTAATTTACGGGCCCCCCACTCCTCCAGCCATGAACATCAGGGCCAGGCTTTGAGCCCAGAGCTCTGACCCCACGTCTGCCCCCTTCTCTGGGACGTGCCGCTCCCCTTGATCTGGTTGGGCAGCCCCAGGAACACTTGTAAAGAGCTTGCATCCCGACCACTCGGGATGGGGCTGGTGGATGGGGGAGGGAAGAAATGCTTTTCTCAGTCCTTTTTCTCCTCTCCCTCTGGTGAAGTTTCAGAGCCAGAACCGGTGTTGGGGGGTCAGGCGTGGAGGGTGCAGGGTCCGGCCATGCCCCCCGCCAACCCTGGCCAGCAGGCTCTCACAGCCTTTCCTGCCCCACAGGCCTGTCCGCTGGCCTTCTGGGCACCAACGACAACGAGGCAAGCAATGAGCTGATGCTGCCGGACGGCACGGTGGCCAGCAGCCTGGAGGAGGTCATCCCCGCCTGGCAGGTGAGCTGGCTAGCCAGCCCTCCCTCCCTCAGGGCCGGGCGTCATCACTAGGACGCTGTGGCTGTGGATGGAGAGGGGAACAGGTGTGACCCGGGCGCGCCCCGGAGAGGGAAGCCTCTGTGTGGATTGGCCGTGGACCTGAGGAGGGCGGGGCCCCCACCTCCGAGGCTCCTGGGCCTGCATGTTCCACACCTGCAGGGAACCTCTCAGTCCGAGGGGGTGGTGGTTCCCTCCTGGGGCTGCAGCCCCCAGTGGAGCTGCCTGGAGAAAGGAGGTCCAGGAAGGAGCCTGAGTCTTGGGTTCGTCTCCCCAGGTGGGTGGTGACTGCAGGGCCATGGAGAAGACTCGGCTGGCATGCCCGGTACAGAGCCTCACCTGCCGGGCCTTCTTCCAGGACCCCCGCTCCAGCCTGGGGAACTGCTTCGGGGTGGTGAGTGTGCAGCTGCAGAGGCCACTCAGCAGGTGGACTGCAGGACAGAGAAGGCCCTTGCCCTGATCTAGCCTATAGCCCTCCTCTGTGCTGCTCCCCAGGGTGTGGTGGGCAAGGACACTGACTATGGGTGCTGGATTTCAGGTGGACCCCACACCCTTCCTCAGCCTATGTGTCCAGGACACCTGTGGCACCCAGGAGCGCCAACCTGCCTGCAACCTGGCGGCTGCCTACATCCACCTGTGTGCCCGGGGCTTCGTGCCCCTGGACCCTCCTCCACAGTGCGGTAAGCAGTCTGACCCCTGCCTGGGGGCGGAAGGTTGACCTCTGCCTTCCATCCCAGAGGGAAAACCAATTCTTTTCTCTTAGCTTCCGCCGAGAGGACAGGCACTCAGTTGTTGTACAGTGAGCTAAGAGTCAAAGCAAAGTTATGTGTGAAGGAGTACTTATTAAGAAAGAGAAAAAGAGGGCCACAACCTCCACCTTCCACCCCAGGCCCAGTGAGCCCTGTGACATACAGCACAGGAGACGAGAGCTCGGGGAGGTCAGGCAGCGATGAAGTCAGCTGCTGAAAACTCAGAACCACAGACTTGCTGTTAGGGGACGTGAATGTACACGCCCTACAAAGTCTGGGAACCCCTGGGCACACCTGAAACCAAGGTCGTGCATGATTCCCACGGCTGAAGTCCCACTACATAGACACAGAAGTTGGCGACTGCAACAAACAACGGCAGTGGACCCCCTGATAACAGAGCAATTATTCATGAACCTCGCAAAAGAACAGTTAGTAGTAGTAGCTACTGGGAGGAGGAGTGGGTGTGACTACAACAGGGTGGAAAAGGGAGATGTTTGTGGTGATGGAACAGTTCTGTATTCTGATGGTGGTAGTGGTTACATGAATCCACACCTGTGACAAAATGTCATAGAACTATACACACACACATTCTACCAATGTCAGTGTCTGGGTTTTGATATTGTACTATAATTATGGAAGATTTAACCATTGGGGGAAATGGGATGAAATTTTGGTGTAGCTAATACAGGACACTCTGTACTATCTTTGAACTACCTGCAATTCTATAATTATTTTAAAATAAAAAGGCTTTAAAATTAAATATAAAACATCAGAGTCACAGTTTTATAGGCAAGTTGTAATAATTTACTATAACTGTTCCAGAGTATAAAAAGGAAACCTTCCTCTTCCTACCTCATTTTAATGAAATTAGTGTTATCTTATGGGAGACAAAAACCCAAGGACAACACAAGAGGAAGGTTAGAAGCCCAGCTGCAAACTTGAACATAGATGTTACTAATATGTTAGTGAAATTCAAAAATATGTTGAGACATAAGCTAAGAAAACATCTTAACCAATTGGAAGTAATCTCTGGAACCCAAGGATGGTATTTAAGAACAGTGTACTAAAGTAGGCAATTTAAACTAGGTAATTCAAAACAGTCCTTCTGGTGGGATATCTAATAATGTTAAACAAGATAGAGAAAATGGGGTATTGGAAATATCTGGATCAAAATCCAGGGGAAGACAGGAGAGTGACATCAACAGGTGGCAGGCTAGGAATCTACAAATCCTCAGTCCTCCATGGAAACACTGAATATAGAACAATATATGGACCAAAGTAGCTTTGTGAGAACCCTAGAAACCAGTTAAGCAACAGCAACAACCAAGTGACTGCCTGATTGAGAAAACGTCTCACTCTAAATGCAGGAAATTTCATGGCATTTGTGCTTGCCTTCCACAATACAGTTTTGAAGAAGCCAGCTAGCTCCTGGCTCATCCCTTGGGAGGGAAGGAAAGGAGTGGAACTTGCTTGCAATGTTCTGACTTTTCTGGGACCTGCCAGAGGAACAGGTCTCTCTTGACTTAGTGATGATGAGGATGGTGGCATAGTCTGGATATCATGTGGGTGATTGCTGAAAGCAGGAGTGGGTGCTGCTGCCAGAGGCAGCTGCAGGGAGTCTGCAGTCCTGTAGGTGACTGGGAGCAAGACTTTGGACAGAGGAATACAATACTATATCTAAGCCCCTGAGAAGAAGCCGGGGTGAAAGCTGGGGAAATTAGGACATTTAAAAGCAGCTGTGTCTACTGGGGATGTGGAGTTAAAGCACACACTCAGGCCCAGGGAAGATGCGCCCATAGAAAGTATTTGAGAGAACCCTGAGCTTTCATACCAGGTTGATTAGTGAAGGCCTTCCCCTGCACAGGGACAGTCTGCAAAGAATGGGAGAGGTGGATGTCTTTTCAAATGCCCAGTTCCAACAAAAGATGACAAGACATACAAAGAAACCGTGAGATAGGGCCCATTCAGAGGAACACAGTAAATCTCCAGAAACTAACTCTTAAGAAACATAGGCCCCTTATTGACAGGCTTTAAAACAACTGTCTTAAATATGCTCAATCAGATGAAGGAGAAGAAAGATGGCAGACAACTAAGTGAAATCAGGAAAACACTATATGAGAAAAATGAGAATATCAACGAAGATGTAGAAATTACAGTAAACAAATTCTGGAGCTGAAAAATGCAATTTGTGCTGTCTTCAAGAGACTCACTTTAGATCTAAGGACACACACAGGTTGAAAGTGAAAGGATGGAAAAAAATATTCCATACAAATAGTAACCAAAAGAGAGCACACTTTCAATAATGGATAGAACAACCAAAGAGAAGATCAATAAGGAAATAGAGAATTTGAACAACATTGAAGATCAACCAGACCTAGCAGATATATACAGAACACTCTGCCCAACAGCAACAGGGTATCCATTTTTCTCAAGTGTACATTGAACATTCTCCATGATAGACATTAGATAGATAGATATTAGGCCATAGAAACAGTCGTAATAAACCTCTAAAAACTGAAATCATACAAACTATTTTCCAATTACAATGGAAAGAAACTAGAAATAGCAGACAGAAAACTGGAAAAATCACAAATTGTACAAAATTAAACAGCACACTCTTAAACACTCAATGGGTCAAAGAAATCACAAAATAAATTAGAAAATATCTTGAGACAAATGAAAACAAAAACACAACACACCAAAACTATGGAATTTAGAGAAAGCAGTGCTACTAAGGAAATGTACAGCTGTAAATCCTCACATTAAAAAAGAGCTCAAATTAACACCCTAACTTTACTCCTTAAGGATCCTGGAAAAGAACAAATCAAACCCAAAACTAGCAGAAGGAAGGAAATCATAAAGATTAGTGCAGAGATAAATGAAGTAGAGAGTAGAAAAACAAGAGAGAAAGTCAACAAAACCAAAAGTTGGTGTTTTGAAAAGATCAACAGAATTGACAAATCTTTAGCTAGACTGACTAATAAGAAAAAAGAAGACTCAAGTAAGTAAAATCAGAAGTGAAATAGGGAACATGAAAACTGATTTTTACAGAACCAAAAAGGATTATAAGAGAGTACTATGAACACTTGTGTGACAACAAATTGGACAATCTAGATGAAATGGATAAATTCCCAGAAACATATTACCTGCCAAAACTGAATCATGAAGAAACAGAAATCTGAAAAGACCTATAACTAGCAAGCAAATTGAATCAGTAATCAAAAACCTCCCAACAAAGGAAAGCCCAGGACCAGATGGCTTCACTAGTAAATTCTACCAAGCATTTAGACAATTGAAACCAAGGCTCCTCAAACTCCTACAAAAAACTGAAGGGGGGGGCTCCCCTGGTGGTGCAGTTGTTGAGAATCTGCCTGCCAATGCAGGGGACATGGGTTCGAGCCCTGGTCTGGGAAGATCCCACATGCTGCGGAGCAACTAGGCCCGTGAGCCACAACTACTGAGCCTGCGCATCTGGAGCCTGTGCTCTGCAACAAGAGAGGCTGCGATAGTGAGAGGCCCGCGCACCGTGATGAAGAGTGGCCCCCACTTGCCACAACTAGAGAAAGCCCTCACACAGAAATGAAGACCCAACACAGTCAAAAATAAATAAATAAATTTAAATTATATTTTTAAAAAAAAACTGAAGAGGGAACATCTTCAAACCCATTTTATGAGGCCAGAATTATCTTGATACCAAAGCCAGACAAAGACACTTCAAGAAAACTACAGAACAATATCCCTGATGCATATAGATGCAAAAATCATCAAAAAAAAAAATACAGTTGGCCCTCCATATCTATGATTTCCACATCCACAGATTCAATCAACCACGGATTGAAAATATTTGAAAAAAAATCCAGAAAGTTCCAAAAGCAAAACTTGAATTTGCTGCATGCTGGCAACTATTTACATAGCATTTATATTGTATTAGGTACTATAAGTAATCTAGAGATGATTTAAACTATACAGGAGAATGTACATAGGCTGTATGCAAATATTATGTCACTTTATATAAGGGACTTTAGCATCCACAGATTTTCGTATCCATGGAACCAATCCCCATGGATACTGAGGAACAACTGTACTGGCAAACAGAATTCAAGAGCACATTAAAAGGATTATATACCATAACTAAGTGGGTTTATTCCTGAAATGCAAGGATGGTTCAACATAGGAAAATCAATGTAATACACCACATTAAAAGAATGA